AGAACGAGAAGGAAAATGGGTGAAGAAACCCACCAAGGTATCATCATGAAAAAAAACCCGACAAAAAAGCCAAGGTACGTGCCGGAATTCCAACCTTTAAACCAATTTGCCGTCGATTTGTGCATCTAATTTCCCACAGCCAACTCTAACTCAAAATATCTAATAATAGGAGAGCCGAGGGAAGAAAGAAAATCCAACGCCTCAGAAAATGTGATCGTAGCGTTTCCAAAAGCATTCTTCCCAGCCAACGAGAAGGCGAGCCTCCATCCAAAAAAAAAAAAGAAGGGGAGTGGGGGGAATCAAAAGAAAAGCATAAACAAAAGGAACAGGATATCCAAATGTTCTTCACTCATTCAACATCCCCTCCGCAAAAGCCTTCAACCTCGAACTATCCTTGGTCGCAATAAAATACGTGCCCCCCGCATGCGTCCAGCTAACACTATCAGACCAGTAATCCTTCTGCCTGACCGACAACAAATTAACCGGCGAATTCAAATTCCGCGCCTGAATCCGATGTCCCGCGGGTACAAACGACTTGAGCGACACAATCTGACACCCTTCCTTCATATCCAGGAAGTGGTTGATGATCGAGTTGTTCAGCTCCGGCGTGAACGCCTGGTTATTAATGAGCACGACATCGGCCCGCTGCAGCGCCTTAATGATGCTTTCTTGCGACAGGAAGCAGCCGCGGATAAGCCGGACGGTGCCCGGGGCAAGCCCCCAGAGCCGACAGCGTGCTTCGAATTCGCGCCCCTGCAGCTCCGCGAGGTCGCAGGCGTTCTGCATCATTTCGCAGCCCCAGCTCTCGCAGCCGATTTCCAACGCTGCCTGTAAGACGACGTTGCCAACCCCAGAGCCTAGGTCGACGAATACCTGGTTGGATTTTAGTTTGGTTTGCTTGAAGATCTCGGAGATGAAGCGGGGGAGGAGCTCGCCGTAAACGTTGTCTGTGCCATTTTCGTACCGGCGGAGGGACTCTACGCGTGGGGAAACGGTGCGGGCGTATATTTGGTTCAGGATCCGTTCGACTAAGGGGAGCGGCAGGCTGTGTATGGTATCGAGGTGTTTCGCGATGGAGCCGTCAGCTCGGAGCCGGGTGATGGTATTATTATATTCGTCGATTGCTTCCATGAATTCTGATTGAGAGGCGTGCGCCAGGGCGCGTCTGAAGCGGCGATTAATGCCAGTGGCCTCGTCGTTAAAAAGGTGGGCATATTCCTCAGGTATATAATTTTGTGACACTATGTTGACCAGGTGGACTATGTCATCCAAGGGTTTGAAGCCTTCTTTCTCCCGAGGTACGACAAGTTGGTATCTAGCGCCGAACGACGAGTAAGCAAACATCCCATCAGCAACACAAACGCAAAACGAACAAACCTAGCTATTTCCACAAGTCATCGTAACTCACTTTTCACCCTGGGAAGCGCCGGGATACTGCAACCGAACTGTAACCGGCTCTGCAGCCCCAGCATCACCCCCATCCTCAAACGCTCTGATAAACTCCGCAGGTTTATCCACAGATGTGATATCAGCCGCGTTTACTATGGTGACCGTTTGTTCCCCCGCATTTTCCACAAACGCAGCCGTGGACCGAACCCGGCGCTCTTTATCTGGCCCCGCACTGGCACTAACCTTCGCCCGCTTGCGAACTTCAAAGAAAGCCGCATCCGTATCGCTCTCGTCGCTGCTACTCGATAACCTTTGGACAGGCGATGGCCGCTTTCGGGGTACGGACTTTGCTTTTAGACGCCGGGTGGGTTCATGGTGTCGGGATGGGGTGGGATCGCTCGCTATGGAACTTGCGCGGATAGAACTGGATGAGCGTCTGCTGGATGTGAGAAGGCGATCGCGGTCACGGCGGGGGTGAGCGTGAGAGTGAGGAGTTGGTCTGGAGGCTGAAAAGTCCGATGTGACTGATGCGGCTCTTGAAGGGGCATGTTTGGCGGGTGTGGTTACTGCTTCGACTTTTCGGATCTGCGGCCGCTTGGGCTGAATCACTATGCTTCCCTTCTTCTGGAGGTGGTCGAAAAAACCCATGCCCTTCTTATGGAAAAATTTTGCGTCTAGCCCAAATACAGTGTGATCGATCGGTGGTCTACTTCGCTTCCTTGTTGACACCCGACGGCTTAAGACACACGGGTGAACGAATAAGAGGCCTTAATGAAATAATACAGAGCGGTAAGAGAGAGGAAGAATAATAAAAGAGAGGGGTTGGTAAACTGTTAATAATATAAATGATCGTACGATATTCATAAGACTGGTGATGTTTGTTGGAAGTGGCACTTATAAAGAGCTGCGGATGTACGCATACGCAGTAACGGAGTAGTTTGTCAAAGGCGGCTCAACGTCTTTCTGGGTTCGGGGCTTGGCGAAGAAGCAGCGTGGAAGGCAGCGTTTCTTGGCAAGATTAGTCATCAGGACAACACAACCAGTTGTTGGTTTTTCTTTTGGTCAAAAATTAACAATATAAAAATTATAGCTCAAATTGATTCTTCGTCAGAGTCTCTTCTCATATTAGTCTGCAGTCCAATTCAAACAGTAACAATAGTAAAATCTAAGGGAAAGTTGCTGCAATCAACCAAAAAAGGAAGATGAGCAGCAGATGGAGTACAGCTGCTGCCAAGAGGTCAAGATGTATGCATAACAAAGCAACACAAAGGGGAAAAGAAGCAAATGAAAATAACAATACAAAAGCAGAAGGGTATCACTGCCCAAGAAAAAAAAAAGTAAACAGGTATGCTGTTGGCAGTCAGTTACAACAATAAAAACGGAAATAAAAAGAACAAATCTGACAGCCTGTAACATAAGTGCTTCTGTGGGGGGGAAAAGAAGGGAAAGAAAAGAAAAGAAATATTCAAGTCAAGGCGCTAAAATATAAAAAGCAAATGGAACGTGGTTGGTGATATTAAAACATGTTATGTACGTCGGAATCCAACAGTAATGACCAGCTGCGGCAGCAACAGTACAGGTGGTCGCTTTTCACCAATACGCCAAAAGGAGAAAAAAAGGAAAATATAATAAAGTATGTGGGTATGTCAGTGTGTGCGCAGAGACGTTTGTACGTTGACAAGCAACGAAAACACAGCAATGATGAACAAAGGAGATATTATGGCTTGCAGTGAGTGCAGTTGTTGTCTTGATGGGAAGGCGAGAGTGGGAACGCCGTCACGAATGTTTTCAACGACTAGTTTCAAGAGAGCCCAGCGACAGCAGGTCCAGCCGCGTGCTTTGATGTGCTACCGTGCCGCCTAACCAGTAGGCTCTTGAGCGCACCCAGCCATTTCGCGAGAGCTTCTTCATCTGGCGCGCAGAATCGATATGTCTTGTCCTCCGCGATGACCTGGAGGCAGAACTTCTTCGATCGGGAGATCGGGTCAATTTCTGCGGCGTTGATAACTTGCAGCATCGAGATGATTTTGGTCGCGGCGTATTCTTGCTGATCTTTATAGAAGCAAATGTTATGTGGTCGAAGAACAACCCAGAGCTTCTTCCATTGTCGAACCCCTTTCTTGCTTTTTAGGCAGAGGAGGTAGCCGTGGCAAATGACACGTTCTGGAGCAAGGTTCCCGAGGGCGCCATCAGCGAGCTGAGCTGTGTCCCGCGGCAGTGAGGGACGACGATCTAAAGGCGCAGAGGGTGAGAGGGAAGGTCCATCATGGGGGGGCAGAGAGGCTGTGGAGCGGTGCGGTGTAGCGCTGGCGACAGCATCAGAGAAATCCGAACAGGATGCTATTTCGTTCCCGGAGTAGTCATGCGTAGTAGTATGTGAAAGCTGCTGTCGCGCCTGCCGATTGCCGGAGCGGATGGATGGGGCGTCATGTTGACTCGCTCTACGACCATCACAGTCGGTCTCACTCGCGCTCTCAGCAGCAGCTTCTCCCGGTTTCTTATTCTCCGCAATGTCATAGCCTTCAAGCGAACCCGCATCATCCGAGTAGCTCTCGTTGCGTATGCGCTCCACCCAGCTCTCCGCATCGGCTTCGGATGTGGCTTGAAATCGATAGTTATTGGAAGGGGAGAATATTCCAAATATATGTTGGCGTTTGGATTTGGTGGCTTTCAACGAGGCAACGGCTGTGACATCAGACAAGTCGATTGAGACTTGAAGTTCTGCTTCCTCTGCATCCTTATACAAGGACAGGAGATTGGGCCGCAATACTAGATATCCGGGTTTCCATGAAGATTTGAATGCCTGTAAAATATAAGAAGCCACTGTTAGCTTTTCTCGAAACATGTGTAGAGGTTCGTCGTTATAGAAGCCAAAAATAAACAAGGGTAAACTGACATGCTTATTTTTTGATCTTCTCAATACTTTCCCTCTCTTTAATACCTGATCGAAAGCAAAGCTGCCATTCTCGTTGACCGGAGAGAAGGTATCAAGATTCAGATGTCCGTGACGAGAAGAAAAACCCCGCTGAGTTTGTGTCGTCCCCCCTGTCACGGACTGGGCTGGATTCTCAATCTGGCTATCGATCCGTAACGCCATGGTGAAAGGTTTAAGAGAAACAACGGGAAGAAATAGTTAGTTGGTAGTGAATCATATAGGGTTGACGGTATCCCCCTTTTTTTTTTTTTTTTTTTTTTTTTTTTTTTTTTTTTTTTGTTTGGATTTGCAGAATGCAGAAGTGGGAGGTCGCGTGGGCTCGGGCAGCTTGAACGCGATGAAACAGTAACAGAGTTAATTGTGGCCGTGGATTAACCAGGAAATGGGCCAGTCCAGCATTTTTATTTTTAAGGGACAACAGGATGAAGAGAATGCCAAAGTCATTCTTCGATGGTTGGCGAGGATCAGGCCCCGTTTGCCGTAGTCAGTTGTATGTTGCAGGTGAGCAAGTTTCAAGTCAACAAGGAGAAATGACGGCAGAGAAGTGGCACTGGTGGTGGTGGTGGGTGTAGGTGGGTGTGGGCGGGCGGGGCTTGGCATGCCTCCCCCCCCTTTTTCTTATTTTTTTATATATATTTTTCTTTTTTTATTCTTTCTGTCGCGTCAGGCCGCTTTGGGTATGGCGCAAAAGAAGAAAAAATAAAAATAAATGGTGGAGGAAGCCGAACTGGTTGGCCAAATACAGAATATGTATTCATAATACTTCAAGCAAAAGAGATCTGTCAGTATGACTCGGCCCGGATTTATCAGGTAAGCGAAGAGGAAATGTAACTACTAGTTATACATACCATACCTTCATATGTAATCAGGATAACCAGCTGGTCTTGATAATAAATATTCCTCAGGTGTGTGGCAAAGGGCGGCCTCTGGATGGATGGATCTGGCTATTGATCATAAGAGTTCATTCATTCCTTGCACACAGCAGCGGTGCCATCACATATATCGTTCAGATATAACCCGTACGTACTCTATAGTTTATATAACATCTCAATTCCTAATATTTACAGCGTAGATTCAGCTTGCGGCTGAATGCTGGGGTGCTGTGCTGTTGGTGTGGATCATCCTGGTTGGGGCAGTAACATACGTAACTTACGTACCTCCGGAAAAATATCTGAAAGATACTCCGTAGATCTGCGCCTGGAAATAAAAATAGCCTGAGAAATCAAGATGCCCCCATCGTAGAAACTATTATCGAGGAGCATCACTTTACTTCGATGGACTATACTCCGTATATGTATTTGCGCAATATGCTTATGCTTCGAGAAATCCAAGCCGGCAATAATAATAATATTACCATATATGTATACATCATAGGCAGGGATAAACTTCGACAATTTTGTACACATTGGTATGGTACGGTACAGCAGATGGCGTACGGTAAGCGTCAGTACAACCAGTTGTAATCAAAAAAGAGAAGATTCTATTCACAGCCCACAGAGGCGACCTAGTGCAGCATCTGAGCCAATCAAAACATCATCCAGACAAGGCCATATTACGTGTCCCGACCTTGTATTGAGCATTACACGCAAATGTTTTCATAGAGACCAAGCAGACATTTTTTGCCTTAAATACAAGAATTGGCACTGTAGCACCTGGAATTTGCCTCTAGGAGCATAGACAATCCCCTTGGGCAGTCAGAAAATCACCCAAAGGCATCGTGCTGGGGGGGATACACTAATAACGCTCGCTGTTCCATCCAAAGACTTGCAAGTTGTTCTAGGCGATTTCTACGTTTCGGGCTCGAGCGGGTCTTGGCATCCTCCCGTCAAACGCTTCGTCCTTTGGAATCTCAATCTCCAGAAAATCGAACATCCCCCATATTGCTGCCACCTTCACTCCTCCAGCTCCAGCTCGCACATAACCTCAGCTCCCACACCTCATGACCACCGCCTGGCTCGCTGTAAGCTTGCACCGCGTTAACCGGCTGTTCATTGAGCCAGTATTATTTCCTTTCCCCTATCCGCTTGATTAACCACGCCGTGAATCCGTACCGTATACCTGCAGATAGGGGACGTCTCATTCCCGGCCATTCGTTTCCTCTCGAATAAGAGCTCTCCCTTCCCAGCGTCCACTATCTCCCCTCTACGAACCGCTGCTGAACTCTTCGGATTTTTCTCCATACTCGAATTCCCTTCCTCGTGGTGGCAGCTGTAACTTGCTGTTGTTAACTCTCTCAGGCTGGCTTCTTGAACATCCCCCCGGTCCAGGAGCTCTATCGCCATCAAGTTCCCCTTTAAAATAAAAAAAAACTAAAAAAAAAAAAGAAATCCAGAAAGCTCCTTTCCATCTGTGCCGAATTTCCTCAAATCCACCAGTTCGTGCCCATGGGGTTCGTACAACGCCTCGCGAAGCGAGTGCCTTACTTGCCCGCAGCCCCTGCCTTTGATAGCGCTGTGAATGAAAAGGGCGCCATAATACCCAAATTCGCTTTCTTCAAGCGGCGGATACGACTCCGAAGGAACTCTGCCATCTCAATACCACTGGGCTTTGTTCTGTTATTTCCTTGCATCGTAATAGTTCTTATATTCCTTCTCATTGTCACTCATCCTTCTTCTCCTGGTCGGATTTTGATGCCAGCTGGAACGCCTCCGACAATTAGGTTCGTCTTTGCTACTTGTATATCTTTACTGTGGAAAACTATCTTTAACTTGCTTTGGAATGCTAATTACTATGACTTCAAAACAGAAAAATTAGCGAAAAACATGACAAAGTTTTTGCTACTGGCTGTCTTGAAATGGACACCAGTACTCCAAGAGCAAATGCGGCCTTCGTTGTCTTGGCGAGAAATAAGGAATTAGATGGAGTGATTCAATCCATGAAATCTATCGAACGACATTTCAACCGATTCTACAATTACCCTTATGTTTTCCTAAATGACGGCGACTTTGACCAGAATTTTAAAGATACAATTGCCAACTATACCAGTTCTTCGCTGGAATTCGGTAAAATCGACCCTTCCATGTGGGGATACCCTGACTGGATCGACCATGAAGTAGCCAAAGAAGGAATTAGGAAACAAGGAGATGCTGCAATTATGTATGGTGGCATGGAGAGTTACCACCATATGTGTCGATTTTATTCTGGGTGAGTAGCAAGTTATCTAGCCTGTACCGCGTAAATAGGCGCCGGTTGTACTAATATGTGGCGGCTAGATTTTTCTACAGGCACGAGCTACTCATGAAGTATGAGTGGTACTGGCGTCTGGAGCCAGATATCAAATATTTCTGCGATATCACCTAGTATGGATATCCCCATCCGATCCTTTTGCTATCCTTCATATCAATTGCTGTTTTCTGACTTGTATGCCAGTGATCCATTCCTCAAAATGATCGAACACAATAAAACCTACGGTTTCACTATTGCTGTTAAAGAACTCAGGGAAACCGTTCCAAACCTCTTCCGTTATGCTTCCGCCTACAAGAGAACAAACAATATCACATCCCAGGGTTTGTGGGAAATGTTCCTTGAGGATCCCCCACAGCCCAAGGAGCCAACAAAGGAAGATGCAGAGGATGAACCATTGCCAGATGAAATCTTACAAACGCAACCAGGTGATAGAGGCATTAAAGATGTCGATCCTGAAGCCATGGAAGGGGAAAAGTATAACATGTGCCATTTCTGGAGTAACTTTGAAATCGCTCGACTTGATTGGTTCCGTAGCAAGGAGTACGAGGACTTCTTCAACATGATGGACAAAAGTGGTGGATTCTGGATGGAACGTGTAAGCACCAATCACTCCTTCACTCCCTTTTTTTTTGGTTTTCGTCTCCAATTTACATTCGATTTCACTGATATTTTGACATCCGTATCTAGTGGGGTGATGCACCAATCCATTCGCTTGCAGCCGGTGTCCTACTCGCGCCAAAAGACATCCATTACTTCCGAGATTTTGGATATCGACATACAACAATCCAGCACTGCCCAGCCAACGCTCCCGCTCGTCAGCAGGATAGGATTCCCTATCTCGAAATGACCACTCTAGACCCGAAAAAACGACAAGAGGAAGACGAATACTGGGATGTTACAGACGTGCCCAAAGAAAACGGGGTGGGCTGCCGGTGTAGATGCGACACGGATATCACCGACGTAGAAGGAAAACCAGGAAGTTGTTTGGCCGAATGGGTCGAAGTTGCTGGAGGCTGGGCATCACCCTAGACATTTCATATACCAGGCTAACCAACGCTGATATAATTCTTGGACCGCTCGATCGATTTTCTCTCATCCTCATTGCCCAAAAAAAAAAAAAAAAAAAAAAAAAAAAAAAAAAAAAAAGAAAGAAAAAAGAAAAAAGAAGAAAGAAGAAAAAAGAAAAGGAAGAAAAGGAAAGAAAAAAAGCCAATACAGACCAGGCTAGATCAAGTTTTTGTTTTCTCTCAAATATCCGAACAACCCCCTTTGGCCATCTTGGAGTTTATTATTCTTACCCCTGCACGAGCTATTTCTTCTCGTCTCTTTTCATTTCTTTTCTCTGTTTAACCGCTTATTGGGAATTAAGGCGTTTTTGCATGTCATACTTAATTCACGGCTTTTTTTACTTGCCTTCTTACTCTTCAATTTTGTTTTATCGCTCCCCTTTTTCTTTTTCGTATCAACCCTAATGTCGTCGCGCCTTTCCGCAAACCTATTTTTCGATGTCTCCGCTACTCCACCAGGCTTTCGAAACTTGGCATTTAGTCAGGCATCGTGTTGTCATTCTGGGTATATAGGATGTGCTCTTTTGGAAACAAGTGCACTCGCAAAGTGACCCCCGGATATACAGACATTTTGCATCCTACCATTACCACACGATCAGGGAAAGCAGTCCCGCCAGGCCTTGCTATATAACACTGCTGTTGGGGCTGCTACTTGGGGGGCTACTACTACCACCAGCCCTAATTAGTCATCGCCTTGTATATATACCTCTCATTCAGCGTCGAGACTTTCATTTTTGCATCCAAAACCTACGGCTGTGGATACACTCTCAGGTCAGAAATAACGGGACACAGTCCTACCTCGAGAATTGACAATTCGCAAACCAACCAACCACCCACCCCGGCTCATCTGTCTAATGCATCAAAGAAAACAAAAAGAATGGCAACATATAGACATTCGCTGCGGTGAAAGATTGTTGAACAATACCGACTCGATTGATTGACGCATTTTAATCCATGCGGGAAACCTAGACAAAAACATTCATACCCATCACCGAACAAACAAAAAGACCGGCCAACACAGACACGGCAATTATCTATTTTAATCCTTCTTCCAACCCTTATTTGTTTCTAGCTTACTTAAAAACCTTCCATTTATCCATTTTTTTTCCCCTTACTGTAGTTTTTATTTTACCACTTTGTTTCTTTCCTTCTTTTGGTTTCTTCCTTTCTGTGCTCTATTCTTTTTTTTTACTTTCTGAAACTGTAAATGTACATACATCCGTAAGACTGCTACTCTTTCCCTTATATAGCTGACCCTTTTCTGTTTTGCTCACCGTCCTGCTTCTATTACATCCCTTATTATATAATATTCCTCTTTTTCAATTTGTTCGCCTGCTTCTTTTTGGGTGCTGGTTTTAATTGATCCATTGATTGGCTTATTATTATTGGTTAATTGGTTCATACTCCTTTCCTCCGTAGCTGTTTTCTTTTATATTTCTCTTTTTCCAGTCCATCCCGCTAGGATAAGTAAACAGAAGGAAATCATCTAGATATCTAGTTATATGTAACCACCGGAGAAATGGTTATGAATATAGAGGACAATGATGGGAGACTGAATGTGATGAGAATGTACTATGAGAAATGGTTATGAATATAGAGGACAATGATGGGAGACTGAATGTGATGAGAATGTACTATATGTATTTTTAATTTTTATTATTATTATTATTATTATTATTATTATTATTATTATTATTATTATTATTATTATTATTTTCGGTGGTTTCCTCCTTGTGTTATTCTAGCTCTTGACTGTTCCTGATACTTGAAATCCGCTTTCAGGTTTCAGGGGACAAGGGGAAAAGTATTGATACTTAGGTTGCTCCTTGATGCCTTCTCTCAGTTTTTATCCCAAAATTGACTATCAGACAGCAAGTTATTAGCCATAACAAGCAATGCCAGAAATAAGACCAAAGATATCGTCCAGTTGTATGATAACTAATGTATAGATAATGTAATGTACATGTACATATAATATATAGAGCATCCCAGAAAGGCATCCCAGAAAGGCAAGCCCTCTCCTGCTTGAGCGGCTCTAGACCAAACATCGCCCACGCCAACCGCCAACCGCCGGTTCTCCGCCAAACCTAGCTGCGAAGGTTGTTCCACCTGCCTCCGGGCGCCTGCCTTCGCCCATTCCCCGCGGCAGCCCGAGCATTGACTAATACAAAGGCCCACCCCGCTGCCCTTGTCGACAAGACAACCTTGAACCCTCCACCACCTCAACACCTCTCGACGACAACAACAACAACAACAACGCACAAGAACATGCCAGGCTCAGATGAGTCTCCCAGCAAGCCCCAGAACCGTCGCAATCATCATCGAAGTAATAACAATAGCCTGCCTCTATTCCAGTTTCCAACGCTCCCAGTGGCCGGTGCCCCTCCCGTTGCGTTCCCATTGCAGCCTGACGCTGAACCAATGACGTCAGACAATCATAGGTGTGAGCGGCCCAGCAGCTCCCTCAGCGAGAGCTGGGCTACTCTCAGCGGCTCTGATATCTATTCCGAGGACGATTCCCGCTCAGAGCAGACAGACACCGCCTCACTGGTTGGTCGCAGTGTTCCTGACGATGTCACCAGCCTTGAGGGCAGGGATGATGACGATAGTGAGGCAGACAGCGTCGACGTGCACAGCTACTACTCTGAGCCCACACCACTACTACCCTTTCCCTCCCATATGAGAGAACAAAGTCTCGAGAACAGCGGGGCGACCATCAAAGCTCCCTACCAGCTGGGGTCAGACTCTATTAAATTCGTTGAGCCAGACGCCTGGCCTGAAAATGAAACTATCGAGCTGAAGCATACCATCAAGGTATTCAATGAAGCTGAGACACCGGAATTCCTGCGTACTACTCTGGCCCACGATCTTGGTGATGGCCATCTATCCGTCACTGTCCAGCAGGCAATGTCTAAGCGCGGCCTTGACCTTACCAAGCCATTCCGTGCTCTCTACATCGGTGCTCCCGATTTCAAGCATATCATCCTTGATAAAATGGGGGATGTACTCGTTGCGGGCTCCGATGACGACTTCAATCATGTAGTCTCAGGAGACTCCTCTCGTTTCCATGTCGTCCCCGCGTCCTTCGGCACTGGTGCTAGTCCCAACTACGCTGAACTTCTCCCAATCCATGTTCAACTCATTGTCGACGAATGCGTTTCGGCTATGGCACAGGGGGAGGGCGACAAACCAAGCACTATTACTATTACACTAAAGAATCGAAATCCGTGCAGTTCAGCCTGGACTGGCTCGGACTACGAAATACAGTCCGCTACTCCTTGGGATCCCCCAGACCTGGCTATTTTCTTTATAGCCCAGGATGACAGTCCTATAAACCGCAAGACTCTTTCTCTGTGTCATACCTTCATGAAGCGGCATGGAGTGCCATCCATAGTCATCTCCGAGAATCCTATGTGGACTAAGCAGAATCCGATAGTTCCGCTGGACTATCAAAGTTTACATGTCTGTCTGGAGTCCCGCCAAAAAGACACAGGCGAATCACAAGTACTGGGGAGGTTTCCAATTGATCTGAAAACCTTTGAGAGTATTGCCCCTGGACAGTTAAATAGGAATCTTGCATCCCTTTCGGGACATCATTCTTCAAAAGCTATTACCAAATTGCGTGAAACTCCAGAAAAGGATACTACAACACCTATTCACGTCCGAGGTTGGGAAAGCTTGGTGTGTATCAAGTGGTTACCGGATGGCTCCTCTGAACTCTTTCTATTTGGAACACCGTACACTCCCGAAGACCTTGCGCGCGTGTATTTTACAGCTATCACCTCTTTTCTTGGTCTCCTGATGCTAGTGATTATTTGTGGCCCTCTGCACTCCTTTATTTTCGTTGACCTCCCCACTCGATTTCCCTCCCTACCTATATCCCCTCTCGTCGGTGAATCTGTCACGACAACAGCTCATCTACCTCCTAGAACAACGACAGGCAGTACCGTGGAAACCACATCGCTCATGCCTCTCTCCGTAAGCGACCTGATCTTGCCTGACTGTACTGGGAAAGATTCGTTCGACGTAGATACCTATATCTCGAAGCTTACCCGCCGCACTGAGAAACAAGGGGGTGAACCGGATAAATTCCAAGTGCATGTTATTGGTGATTGCCATGTTATTATAAGACTTCCACCACGCCTAGCCTCACGGCGTAAATCTCCAAAGTTTGATGTAACGGTAACCAGGACCAATCAACAGATTCCGTTTGACCGGGCCCGCCTGTTTGACGGAGTATATACTCTACGACTGCCCAGGGAAGACGCATATGGACCTATGAACATTTCTATCACCACGAAATCGAAACCCATCATCGAACAGGTTACGGAGGTCGATTTTGGAATGCCTTGGCTGAAGATCGCAAACTGGAAAAAGGCCGCCCAGAAACTCTCTGCTCAACTCAAAAGGGATCTCAACATCGCCTCTGCAGGGCTGACTGTTGTATATAACCGGATGTCTGCAGATTTGCTTGAAAGGAGCGATGCTCTACGAGGGGAAACGGAATCAGTAGGTCGGGCCTCGTTGCAAAGGGCACTGGAAGCCACGAACGTGATACTAGCCAAGTCAAAACAACTTTCCGACGAGGTCACGCGGCTCACACAGGATGGGTTGATGGCTTCTACAGCCTTACTCCGCCAGAAACTGTCCACTGTGAACACAGATGTCGTGCAATTCGTGAATGAAAAGCGGTATACGATCGAAAAGGAGGCGAGGAGACTATTCCAGTATCCCGCATCTGTGCATGACTTCAACTTCGCTCGGCGCCTCACTGATAACGCACAACGAGTGAAAAGGTCTCCGGGAATGGCGGCGGCGCAGAAACACGCGACGCATTTATGGCAGCTGCTGCGATCTGGGCCTAACAACGAACTGACGAACGCTGTACGTTGGCCTAAATGCGAGACGGGGAGACGCCAGAAAGTTCGACGTGGGAAATTACATGTACATGGGCGTACACATGGGTCTTGGGGCTGTGGGCGCCGGTGATAAAAATACCCTTTTCGTCTGCTTTCAACTTCTTCCATTCGCTGGTATTTTCATTCCATATCTGTCTCTTCTGTTTCTCCTTTCTCTTTTCTCTTTCTGTCATTTTTGTCAGGTAAATGGTGAGGTTTCAGCGACTTCTTTTATGCACAGATTTAATAAGGACTGGTTGGTTTTTCTGGGGAGGAATTGGGGGCCTGGAGTTTGGGTTGGGTTCGGTTCGCTCCCATTTAATATTTTATGCTTTTTGATCTTATTCCCCACTCCCATTCAAGCAGGCCTGCGGGATAACAACGAGGGAAATGGATGTTGATGGGCATTGTACTTTTCTTTTCCGAAGGCTCACGGAGGATGGAGGTAGGAAGCAATATCTGAGTCCCTGTGTCCAAGCTTTGGGTCCCTGAGTGAGAGAATAGGGCAAGGTTCAATGGTCATTTTAACGGACGGCGTTGGCAGTGGTTTGTATTCCCTGGTACCTCTTTTTTCTTCTTTCTTTTCAATCATTGACACCCGCATTCAGCTGGCTGGGAGATGGCGTGGGAAGGACAAACGAACAGTATGACGGTCGATGAATATGACGATGTTGACGATGTGGCGCAGGGTTTGGGAGGGGAGCTATTTTCTTCTCCTTTTCTTCTTGCTTTTTTTTTTTTTTTTTTTTTTTTTTTTTTTTTTTTTACATATTGATTTGATAGTGTTGAGTACATAAAAATATAAAAATCTACTCCATGTGTAGTACAGTAACTAGCTATCTCACTCATTCAAAACATTTCATTTGTTTGGCACGGCTTTCTTTTTGTATGTAGTTAATTGTATTTAACCTATTTGAATATGTGGAATTGTTCTCGATAAAATATTAGTATTCAGCCCGTAACGGTGGTGGGGTTGTCTGAAATATATAGAGATAACACGGCTCAAGCCACACTTTAAGTTACCCCTCCACACCACACCGAGAAACAAAGGATGAAGGCGGAAGGACAGAAAAGATCCCAAAATAAAACTGATGCTAGTGCAGACCTGGCTAATAAATAATAATTAATAAATAAATTATAATAAATAATAAATAAGTAATAAAAGTAAGTAATAACCTCTGATCGTCCCAGCCCCCCAACCAGCCAACCACAGCGCCCCGCAGACCCTCTTCACCCCTCACTCTCTGCCTGGAAACTCCCTCACCTCGACCTTTTACAACTAACTAGTTAGTTACTCTACTACTACAACTTCAACCTTCAACTGCATCCTTTCCTCCCACCACCACCACCACCACCACCACCACTCCATCAACCCAACAAACGTCCTTGAAAATATAAATACCACTACCACCACCGCGCACCGCAACCATGACTGACCTCACCAACCAAAAGCCCGAAGACCCCACCCCCACCACCACCGCCACAACCACCGACGAGGCCGCTGCCGCCGCCGCTCCCGAGACGGATCAGAAAACCGAAGAACTCAAGGCAGACACAGAACAGGCCGCTGACGCTCCTGCCGGTGATGATGGGGACGTAAAGAAGGACGAGGCGGTGGCAGACGTCAAGCCCCCCACCACCACGTCTGATAGTGTGTTTTCGATGTTTGGCGGGGGCCCGAAGAGGGAGAAGAGACGGGAGGAGGACGAGGAGGGTGAGGATGAGCCGTCTGGGTCTTCGAAGAAGAAGGAGGGGGATGTTGCGGTGAGTTTTGGGGAGTGAAGTTTTTATTTGGTCTATTTTCTTCTCTCTTTTTGGTGTTTTTTTTTTCTGGTGCTGTTATGTTTTTGTCTTTTTTTGCCCTACTTTTTATCTTCTTTTTCGCACTGGTTTGCTAGATTTGTGAGGGACTTTTTTTTCATTTTTTGTCTATGGATATTTCTCACTCCTTTGATATGTTGTGAAATTACCCCTCTTCTTTTTTTTTTTTTTTTTTTTTGCTCTCAAAAACTCGTTGTTTTGAGATGGACACTGCGTTTTTCCCGAGTCTCTTTTTCTCTATTTTTCCCGCCACTCTTATACTGTCGGAAAACCTCTCTTACACTTTTCTGAACAAATGTGTTGTTTCTGTAACTGACATGACGCCTTTCATTTTGGCTGATTATGATGTAGGATGAGGAAGAAGTGGACGTCCACTTCGAGCCTGTCGTGCACCTTACCGAGAAGGTCGATATCAAGACAAACGAGGAGCTGGAGGAACAGACCTTTAAGATGCGTGCGAAGCTTTTCAAATTCGACCGTGACTCGCGAGAATGGAAAGAGCGTGGAACCGGCGATGTCAGACTTCTTAAGCACAAGGAGAACCACAAGACACGTCTGGTTATGCGGAGAGATAAGACTCTGAAAGTTTGCGCGAATCATTACAGTATGTGTTTGGGCCCCGCTACCTTTTTTTTTTTTTTTTTTTTTTTTTTTTTTTTTTTTTTTTTTTTGACAGAAAGAAAAAAAGGAAGACGCTTGCTTTTTGGATGATGTGTTCCGTGATGTTGAGGGTAGGAATGGTTCCACTGATGTGAAATTTTTCTTTTTAGTTGTGCCTGATATGAAGCTGGCTCCCAATGTCGGTAGCGACAGGAGCTGGGTGTGGAATGCCGCTGCGGACGTTAGTGAGGGTGAACCCGAAGCACAGACATTGGCTATCCGCTTTGCTAATAGCGAAAGTGAGTCCTAACCGCCAGCCCTTGCCTCCTCTCTATCCCTCCTATGTATATATGTAGTTACTAACTCGCGCCATTTTCTGCAGATGCGAACCTCTTCAAGGAGGCCTTCGAGAAGGCCCAAGAGGAGAATGAGAAGCTTTTCGCCGCTGCTGCTGCTAGCGAGTAAAATTCAATAGCCCGACCTGGGACTATATCGACGCTCTTACCCTGATCATCATCATAAATATCATCATCTTCGAGAACAATTTACACGTCACTGAGAGAAAGACGAGTGGTTTCACAGCACGTGCTATTCCCCGTATGGATTCGAAACCCCACTCCCCACATCACCATGATATCACCATCACCATTCCCTCTCCTTGTGGACTCCCCGAAAAATCCCATTTCCCGCCTTTATAACCCCTTGCAAAAGCCCCAATACCCCTCCGCCTTTTTGGTCAACGAGACTGCTTTTCCCCCGCTTCCCATTCGATGATGGTGTGTGTTTGTCTTATGAAGCAACGGTGTAGATGAAGTATCTTTTATATTCCTCCCCCTCCCCCCCAAAAAAAAAAGAAAAAAGCCGAAAAAAAAAAAGAAAAAAAAAAAGAAAAAAAGAAAAAAAAGAAAAAGAAAAAAAAGAAAAAGAAAAAGAAAAAGAATGAAACGAAAAAAGCCAATACAAAACGAGATAAATTTGAAACGCTCATGACTTATAGAAGTTGGGAACATCCGGCGAAATGAAATATGGTTCAAAGTCAAGGCTTCTTCTTTCTCACCTCAACTACGGCATGGGAGGAGGGATTTAAGAAGGGAAGAGGGGACAAAGGACAACACAGAAAAAAGAAAGCACGAAAAGAAGTTCAGAACAATAATATTTTTGCGGTACATAGAACGAAGCATCTCAATCACAATTCCCCGTTCCACCCCCCCCCCCCCCCCCCAAACCGAAAAAGGGGGTCCCCAAGGATTTGCCATCAAGGCTGTCATGCTTCCGTTTAGCCCCATCCCGGCCGGTGGGGTTTTTTTTTTTTTTTTTTTTTTTTTTTTTTAAATTCATAACGAGGGGCGAGTCATCTCTGAAAGGGTTTGTGTTGGAGTAAAGATGCTCCTTATTATTATCTCGTAGAGAAAAGAATTTAGCCTATTTCCAGAATCCTGTTTGCTATTTCCAAAGTAGATGTTGTTCTGCTTATTTTATATTGTATAAATCAAGCCTTTCATTTATTTGGCTGTGGAGCGCAAACCGCGACCACGAAAGGGACAAAGCAGCATGAAGCCAACTCGTGAATGAAAAAGGGAAACCGAATGAACAAACCTCAACATTATTTCCAAAATACAATTTAAATATATTTATTTTTTCTCTTTGAAAACTCAAAATAACCCAGAAACACCGCACCTTGTGTTTCCTCCGCCACTGTTGGGTAAATATATCATCATCTTTCTCAGGAGCTTTAACCATTTTTTAGCCCGAAAAGCTTAGCTCTCCACCCAACCACAACCACCGCCCTTTGACGACCAGTAACAACGAAAACACTACACACACAAAATCTTCCTAACACGGCCGAACCAAAGAGGGCGAACAACAAAGCAGGAAAGGAAAACGGAGGATTAAGCAGACCAACATGCCCGACGTGAGTGAGCTCTTTTCTATTCCCAATCTCCCCCATCTCTCTCAGAAGGCGCGCGTAGACGTGCGGAATGGCGCGAACTGCGAAAGCCGACGACGGATGGCGCTCTCCTCTGCTTGGCCCCCCGCCCCCCCCCTCGGGCGGCGGTCCCCTTACAGAACTCATCAGCTAATCTATTCTCTCTTCTTCGGTGGATATCGAATATCCGTAGGTGAAACGCACAGTCAAGCTCGTCACGGAGCAGAATCTCAAGTTCGTGCCCTCCCCCGCTCTTTTCTGCCCCTCCAACACTCCTCCCCCCTTTCTCCCTCAGTATGCTGTTCCCCTCTCCAACCGACATTGCTGTTCGCGTAGCCCTAGATGCTATGCACCCCCTCTGGCTCCTCGCGAGTGTATTGGCTTTTTTTTGCGAGTGGCTCCGTGACGCGGGCTAGGAGAACATGGCAGTCCTCCTTTCCTCCAGCTAGAATAGTCAGGTTGGATCCAGTCCAACACCACGTCGCTGCAAAACATTATCTGCAAACTGTATACACGCGGAGCTTCTGGAGGCGAGTGGGAGGGTCTGCTGTACACAGCACGGGATAATATATATGGATGATAGTTAATTGGCGAATGCTTACACGGGTTCTCTGCGCATATAGAGAAGGAGAGACGGCGTCGGAGGTGGAATTGCCGCTGCGGAAATGGTCGATTGAGGTTTACTTGCTGAACGAGCATGGCGAGGAGGTCCCCGCGACGATGTTTGACAAGGTCACCTATACGCTGCATCCGAGTTTTGGGAATAGGGCGATACAGAGTACGTGTTGATGGGCTTGATTCTGCTTACCGCTATCTTGCACATGCATTGCATGCAGGTGTGTACAGCTTTTATTTGTGCTGACAATATTCCAAAAAACTTCGAATGGATAAAATACAGCTTTCAAATCTGCACCCTTCAAAATTGAGGAGGAAGGCTGGGGTGAATTTGATATGCAGATTGGTTTCACAGTTCTGGACAAAGAACATATTGTCAACCATGACCTACATTTCCAGCAGAACAAATATGAGTCAAAGCATGTTCTTGTGAGTCTATACCTGAACTCCCAAGCACCAACCCGCATCTCACCTTCCCTCACTGTGTTTGATGGGTTTGTTTCATTTGACTTCTTCTGTGCATTTGGGTAGACTAATGATGTTTTCATCCATCTAATAATATGGCCATAGACCTTCAAAAACCCCAAACCAGCTCTTCTAAACATTCTCCGAGAATATGGCCCTGTGCCTGGCGATGAGAATGGCGTCAAATCGAAGCGTGGAGGTACGCAGGATGAGGGCTCGAAGAAAAAGAAGCGGATAGATAAGAATGTATGTTTATAGTACCTCCAGTTTCCACTCCACCCTCTCAAAACAATGAATATGTTCCGGCATCCGCCTTTTTCTTACAATATCCTGACTGTCATTTATCAGGTCGACATGGATAAACTGGCAGACGGCCTGCAGAAGCTTGGTGAAGATGACCTCCTCCAAGTTGTGCAGATGGTCCATGATAACAAATCCGCCGACTCGTATACCAAAAATGATATTGAGCGTGCGTTCCTTTTCCTTTATTTACATCTACCCCTACGCTTTTTGTCTCACGCGCACACATACACACGATACTGACATCTCTTGAATACAGAGGGCGAATTCCATGTTGATCTCTACACCCTTCCCGACTCCCTTATCAAGATGCTGTGGGACTTCACACAGGAAAAGGGAGTTGTATGAGCACGTGGCAGAAAAAAAGACACATCCCTCTGATTCTGTTTCTGATTAAACTAATGCCTTTTTCCCTTTCCTTTTCTTTGACCTGTCCTTTCTTCTCTGATTTTTTCTTTTTCTCAATGGATAACTAATGAAATCAAATTCATGCATGGATTCATTTGGTCTCAAGAGCATTTTCCAACTCTATCTCATTATATCCGTTTCTAAGATGTAAATTATGCTAAAATCTTGTTTTGTCCCCCTAACCTTTTTTTCATTTTCTCTCTTACGCCAGTTGTCTCCTGCCGTCTTTTACACTTCAACCATCAACTTTGTATTTTTCACTTTTCGATTTTGCTCCCCCGGTGTTTTCTGGAATGATGAGAAAACCACTCTTGAATTCGTTTCTCCTCCAGTTAACATGCCGTCCTTTTCCCATATCCTGTACTGCCACGTTTTCCATGTCCCCCCCCACCCCCCTTTTTTTTTTTTTTTTTTTTTTTCAATCATAGGACATACATACATTTGTCCCCTTTCCGCCCGCCGCCTTATGTAGCAAAGTTTAGTACTCTATACTCTTTGGAATTGGAATTGACTATGTTCATTATTTCTTCCCTGGTCTGTGTAGGGTTCACATTCAATTGAATCAGGAATGAAATTCTATTCACTCTGTTTCTACTTTTCGCGGGCTGCGTGTAATAATAATAATATGAAAGTCGGGTTACACGGAGCTGGAGGTTAAGATTTCTCCCTGCCCCACTCATTTAAGCTTAAACGCATCAGTGATCCTGGATGATGTCTATCTCCTACTTCGGAACTTCTTTCAGAATATGCATGCACACATGTTAACTTTTGTTGATTAACCTACATCTACTACGAAATAATCTAAACCGCATGGCCTGGGAGGGAAAAAAAAAAAACGGAAAGGAGGATGCCACTGCTCCAGCCCAATCAGTAACGTAGCTAAGCAAAGCATATCTCCTACCCCAACCCACTTCGCCGATTATTTGGAGTTTTATCAAACCCCTTTGCTAAAGCAAGAAAGACGATTTCGAGACAAAAAAAAATTAATGAAGCTCTCGGCCCGAGGAAAATTTAAGCATGGCGACTAAGCTGGCCTCGAAAAAAATGTCCCACCACCGAGTTGCTTGCTCGCAGTGGGTCCTCACGCTATTGGATTAGCGCAGTTCCTTGTCATATCAAGAAGGGCGTGTTGTTCTAGGCAGGGCGTCCCATGGCCTCGAAAAGAAGCCCACGCAGTTCAAGATGAGAGGGAAACGTGTCGCGATAACCAGAAACGTCTGGCCAAGTGTTCTTATTGCGGTGGAAGTGGGCAAGAACACATGAACGAACTTCGAACGAGGAGCGGTGGTGAATTTAAGCTCCCTCCCAACGGAGAAACAAGCTTAAAAGAGCCTCACGGGCCAGCTGCTGAGATAAGCATCAAAAATAACTTAACTAAGTTAACTAGTTAACTAGTTAGTTAATTATCCAGGCTAACATCTTTATTTCCAACTTATGAAAGTAATGACTTCTATTGCGCTTGTTCAATCATAATTTATTGACGTCATCTCACAGGACAAGGAATCCATGAAGATTGATTAATCAACATGAATGACTAATTCAATCCCCAGCTCCCGCTAAGACGGCAGACTCCAAGCTCGGCGGGTGGTCCAGTTGACAGTGATTGGCCGGTTTTGGATGATACGAAGAGGTGAACTTCGAGAACCAATCAAACTTGCCTGTCTTTAAGGAACCCAGAAGCATGTACGGATCGACCCGTCCGTAAACGGAGGAAGGCTTCAGCAGTTCAATAATTATTCAGCATGGAGATCGTCCTAAGCTTGTAGGTGGCGGCAACACGAAGCTCCACGTCCAATTGCGAAATCGGCGGGGTTGAGCACAATCTTGGTTGGCACGCCCTTGTGAGACGACGCGGTGTCTGTATACGGGTTAGGCTCACCCTTTTGTCGAGCGTTCTTAAAAGACCGTGCTCTAACACGGCTTCGTTCACAGATTGCGATTAATAATAATGATGAGCGGTTGAGCGATGAGGTCATTTATGGTCTGATGGACTGCTTCTCGTTTATGTCAATATGATATGCAGCCCGTAGAAATGAGAGGTTTCAACAAAAATGAGAAGACAAGAGAAAATGGATGCATGTATTTATCCAGCTATGCAATAGCTCTTTATTGTTTTTGCCGCCACAGGAAACCATTCGGGTCAAAGCAGCTGTACAAAGTAGAATCAGGTTCAACTCCGACAGCCAATAATATACAGAATGTTTCGCTGACAACTAGCGGGGGGTCTGAGCCCCTTCCCCATAGTTTGTCCCTGGCCCACGCCCTGTGGTGTCATTTTGTGGAGACCTGGATCGCAGATTAGCGAGCGGGAAATTTTTTGTAATTCATGGATGCCATTGAGAGAAGAAGTGTTGTTCTTGTGACTCTATACTAAGTTCGGATCTATAAAGATGAGAGCTCGCCTCCCCAAAGACATGTTCATATAGTACCAAATAATTATTTCATAGTCAACTTTAAAAAAACAGTTTTACCATCATACTTCTTTACTCCTTATAGTTCCTCAATCTGTGCTTGCTGCTGTTGGGCGACGCGTTTATCATCACTGATCCCACTTGTCCTATTTCCCCCTTGGTTCGTTCTCAAGGGATTTATATACCCGCCCGATATAGGATTTAGATACGGAAATATAGACAGCACAATGGCTACCTCAGTTACAGCCCGTAGCTCAAATGATTTCGATACCCTCTCTCTACGCTCGAAGCCTTCGGTGATAATTTCTCTCAAGAATCAGCAGGGATCCCCAATCAACTCATATACAACTCTTGATAAAATCGAAGGAGAAGTTAGCGTCACATCTGATTATGATGTCTGCTTTACAAATCTCTCTATTTCTTTTGAAGGTAGGACCTAACCTTCTCCTTGTCATACAATCGTCTACTTAGGGTCATTGCTAAGTGCGATTCAACAGGCACATCTAGAACCGTCATAGAATCACCTGGAATGTCAGGTCCTGCCATTGGTCGATATTCCGCATTTCACACGTTTTTGCGCCTTGTGCAGCCGATCGATGAGCAACAATATCCCCAGGCTGGGATTATCAGTGCAGGCCAAACATATACATTCCCCTTTACCTTCGTTGTCCCTAAGCATTTGCTCCCCAATTCATGCAATCATAAATGCAATCATCCTCAAGTCCACGCGGAGCACATCCTCTTGCCACCGTCGCTAAGTGATCCAACGATATCGGGGAACGGGGGCACGCTTCTCGATGATATGACTCCCCAGATGACGCAGATTCAGTACGCGGTTAGGGCCCAAGTTTTCAAAGCCAGCCCGGTGGATGCTTCCCTCAAAGTGCTTGTGGACACCAGACAGAAAGTTCGTGTCATTCCGGCAGTGGATCAGGCTCCCCCGTTGAGCGTTCTGGACGACAGCGAGGAGTACCGAATGCGCAAAGAAAAGGACGTTAAAAGAGGCGCCCTAAGGGGCAAAATCGGCCGAATCGTTATGGCCGCAGGCCAACCAAAAGCAATCCCCGTCCCAGCATCAGCTGCAACTCAATCAGCAGAGAGTACTCCCAGCACCATGGTGACCTTGCATCTTCGATTCGACCCTACAGACGAGAACCAACAACCTCCCCGCCTGAGCAGGGTCTGGACTAGGCTGAAGGTAAACACCTTCTTTTCGGCCGAACCATGGGCCGACATTCCTACCAAGAATACATCATTAATGTGGGCCCTAAACCGAGGCGTCTATACCGATACCGTTTCTCTCGCATCTCGCTGCGTCGCATCCGCAAAATGGAAGAAGCACACCGGCACCTCCCCCTGTCCCTCTGCGGCATCCTCCCTTCACCGCCGGGACTCCTTCCAATCAACAAATTCAGTCGAGTCCCTCGTAGGCCCCAGCGCTGAATACGCAGGGGAGACCTACTACACTGCGGCCATCCTGGTACCGATCAGCCTGCCACCCACACGTGCATATGTCCCCACATTCCACTCCTGCCTCTCATCGCGCACCTACGCGCTCGAAATCTCTCTTTCCTACAACACACCCAGCGCCAGTCTAACCGTCCCCACACTGGCTGTCCGTGTACCCGTTCAGATATCCACCACAGAGAGCCTTGCAGAAGCTTCTGCAGCGCGTGGGACGCCGGAGAGGAGCAGAAACAGAAACACCGGTGACGAATTCTTCACACCGCGCAGCATCGCGCCCCCACAGGTACATTTCGCTGAGCGCTCATCGGCGCTCTCGACAGGGCCCGGCAGGGGACGAAGCGATACAGTGTTATCAACAGAATCTACCCTGAGCATGGCTCCCCCGGAGTATTCGAACGCTTCGTCCCCGTTGGCCAGGCGGCGGTCAAATCCAACGATTGTCAGGGCTGCTTGTTGATTTAACAACCAAATAACCGCAGCCATACGGCTCGATGTATCGATATTTAATTTGGTTTTGGCGCTTTATGCATGGGTCCTTGGGATTCGGTTTTCTGTTTATTCCATTATATTTCATACCATGACCTCGATTTCGGTTTACGATGACGATTTTCTTAACACGCGCACTCACTTTCTTATAGTAATTTTTTCTTTTATTTTTCTTTTCAGATATCATTTTGTTTTTCTGTTGTCGTTGCGCTTTTGAATGAGCTCTCGAATATACCCTACATATGCATATCTCATTCTGTCTTTTTCCTGTTCACTGGTGTTTCCGGTTGATCTTTTTGTCACGGCCCAAAACACGATATAGTAAACTGCTGGACGTATAATTTGTCACTGAAAAGCCCTGTTGTCTTTATTGTTTCCATTTCATATCTTTCTTGTTTCCCTGGAGGTTGCCACAATATTGCCAGATTCGTCCAATAAATCCCTGCCACAAAGGCCAGTTGTTAATGAACTCCTTGTGATTTCCCTGGTTTTGCTCGGGTAGCTTCAATGGCTCCTAAGAAGGATGGGAATTTCTTGTCTGCATTTTAACAAAACTCGCTCAGCATGTGATTTAAATATGTAATACTTTAATGGGATAACCTTAAGTCTATTCATATCATGTGTGATAAAATATTGGATAATAACCGTAGACGGCTGCCTACAAGAAAGTTTTCAATAGTTAGGTTAGTATGACACCGGTTCATCAATATTCGCCAGTTGTGGATACCAACTTTTTTTGTCTCTCGAAAAGAGGGAAATGCTCCATCCTCGGATCGAATATATTGAGTGTGGAAATACACGTATATATTTATAATCTGGGGCAATCTCCAGGCCACCCACCTGGCTGCGACGCACATGGAAGCACACTTCCTGTGTCTGTGGTTACATCCATTCCAGAGCACGGCAAAACGGGAAAGCAAATTCAGAATAACCGAACATGATATGTTCTTGAATAGCAGGCAGTCTTCGGTTGATGAGGTAGCTAGCGTATAGAACTTTCCTGTTGACCCTCTGATGCACCGCTGTCGCCGCGAATCTACCACCGGTAATTAGACGCTAGCTTACCTACAGAGTCTATAGTGACAAATGTAACAAATGAATGTTGATTTTATAGCCATGCACCGATTAGTTACACTAGTCCTAATATAGTTAATATATTATTACATATGGTTTAGTCAGTCTTGGCTTTAAGACTATGAGCTCCACCTCACAGATCAACAAGGTGTATGGAGGCCCCTTCCGCCCTGAGTATGAAGGCCCCCAGGTATATAGATATAGAGTGCCTCTATGCATAGAGCCCCTGAGTATAGAGTGGCCCCGGGTATAGAGACCTCTGAGCATAGAGACCTCTGAATATAGATTCCTCTGAAGACTGGCCTGAGCATATAGAGACTGTTCCAGGTTGAGAGCCCTCCACTGATATGAGCATTATTTCATACAATCTTCAATGAGAAGATCTTGATTGCTAATACAATCAGTATCATCAATGTGTGCTCATTTATAACACTAGTATAAAATACTCATTTGTCACATTTGTCACTATAGACTGCCGTATTTTCCCATTGGCGCATTCTCTCTGCTTCCAGTGTGGCACTTGGTGCGCAATGATGATTCAAAAAGCTGAGGCGGGGCTTGGGGAAACGATCTATCAGACCACTTCCGCGCCTCCAAGCAAATGTGCTAACACGGCCTGTTCAGCGAGGCTGTGTGCGTCCGCTCAAGACAATAGGTAGGTTTAGCTTGCGGCGAGGTTTTGCCTCACATTCCAACTGAAGAAAGGAAGCCGAAGTAATTAAAAGAGAAATAAAGGTTGGAATCACCCGCACCCGGGGACTGATTATTAGAACCCATCCGAAATCGGGGTTCCAGCTTACGTCCCAACATGTAGCAAGGTGTCAGAGAAAGGTTTCGTAATGGCTTGTCTCAGGAAACTAATCTCACTGGGATCCAAAGGTGTCGAGACAGGTGCAGCTGAAATAATTGGCAAAGCAGCAATCCATTAGGTAGGTTAGTTACCGGCATCGCTTTGAAGTCGAATGACCCTATGAAGAAGGGCAGGATCGAAGGCATGACTTAGGGCAAACCTCGTCACCTGATCACATGGGAAAAAGGACGAAACGGATTATCTCAGCAAGCTCAGACGCTTCTCCAGATATTTATTGCTGTTTTAACACTGGATTGATGATTATGTCATGAGCTAATCTCAAATAAGCAATAAGCTAACCCAAATAGTAAAATCAGGTCATGTGAGTGATGATATCTTGTGAAGCATCTGAGAAGAAACAGTTCCTGATTATTAGTAACATGGGAAGGATTTGCTCAGTACTCTGAGTATGAAAGAGAATTCCAACTCAACTTCATAGATTCATCATTTCTGTATCATCTTGAAACCTTAGAATAACAATATTCTCGCGATGTATCTGATTTTTATATTCATATCTCAAGTTCTTAGAATAGAAGTATCATCTCAAAGTTGATCAGTGTGTTTTTGAACACAGGAATTTTGATCCAATTTCTCATACAAAAAAAAGCTCTTAGAAATTCTGAGATCAAAAAATATGATCATTTTCAAGAGTATACATCTATCTTAAATATAGATTTTTTTGAAATATTAAAGAAATATTTCTATTCTTCTTCTCTTTAGCTATAAGCTAAGGTGATTTTCAAATCTCAAAGATATATGGATATATAGTAATAGAAAGTCAAAGTTGAAGAATCTGAAAAATCCTTGTAAATCTTGGAAATCTCCATTGAAGATGGAACTGTTTCTTCTCAGACCCTCTGGCGAGGATTGCTCTGAGCACATGACTTGTATCAAAAGTAGGTTAGTGTCATGCCGGATTAGTCTGCAACCTGTTCAAACCGAGCCAGAGGTCTGAGCCCGCTGAGATAAGAAACGGACGACAACTCCCAAAGAGCTTGTCGCTTCGTCCAACAACCGCCTGCCAGCAAATAACTAGTTTTTGCGAAGTCTCTGGTATGCTGCTTGTTAGGCACCGTTTGTGCCCGACGGCTCGACTAGGATGCATGCTTCTGCATCCAAAAAGCCAATTATTAATGGAAACTCCCCTGGCGTCATCCGTCGGGTCGCCTCACGAGTCAATGAGCCAAGGTGCTCGTTCGCTGCAAAGTAGCATGAAGTCCGCTCCTGAATGGCTGGTTTGGGGCTTTCAGTTCCCATCGCCAAAAAAATATCTCGAGTTTTGACCGGTTTCTTCAAGGTTGAAAGCCCCCAGGGCGCGACGTAGATGCCAAAGGGTAATGTTGATACGGTGGGTGTGACCATGTTTCGTGTCGATTTCATTGGCGCTTGCAAAACACGCCAACCGTTTCCTATCAACCAGTGATTGTTCGCGCCCAGGGATGATCAGAAACAAATAACCACGTCTTGCGGTTGGAATATTCAGGTCACTCTGACCAAGACCACAAGGAGGAGTATCAATCGCCGTTTCTCCAACCGTCTCCTTTGAATTCTCAGTGCCATATCGAATTGTTCTCGGCATTTCGGGCTTTTTTGGAACATTATGACGTATATTTGCATTCCAACCTGGCTGTTCATAAAGCCATTTCACATTCCAAGCCAGACGCTGGCCGCCACTGCCTATCAATCGCTTATGAACAACTCATCGCGGGGAAAACTGACGACTGAGAACTTTCCAAAACAAATTGCAAAGCTGGCTTGTCCCTGACGATTTGTCTTTTCGAGCCTAATTACCAATCAAGTTGAACCGCCTAGTCGGTTTGGTATCAACTGCTCCGAATTCTGAACCGGAAACCAGCGATTTCCATCCCACAACATCTGAGTTCTAACACCAATTTTGCCCAACTTCTAGGTATGTTTTAATCAAGGGGTTGAGGGCAGCGAAATACAGGTTGTAGAAGGAAAGCTATTGGTGGGAAGCTGCACTTTAACTCCATCATTTCAACTCCCTGAAAGTTAAAAAGGCAGTTCTTTACCATCCAAGGTTGGAGGGAGTGAGGCGCAGAATAGGGTCAAGTTGGGTATAAATAAGCTACCCTCCCAACCGAAACTCCGCCTGTCATTTGTCAGTCCCGTCGTGTTCAGACGCGATTGGCCTCCGCCTTGCCCGTCTTCCCGACTCTGGGTCAAACCTTTTAATGTCCCCATCCCGTTCCTGAGCTTACCATTTCGTAAACTTAGGAACTGAATCCAAAATTGTTCCCAGACGATGGAGGCCCCAACTGAGATTGATCACTATCAGGTCCTTGGTCTCACACAATCCGCGACGGCGGCAGAGATCAAAAAAGCGTACCGAAAAAAATTACTGACGACCCACCCGGACAAGAACCCAGGGATATCAGCGGATGAATTCTGCAAGGTTTGTTCATTCATATCCCTTGTATCTATGATCATACAATATATCAGAGAATACTTGATTAACTTGGCCCCTTTCCAGGTGCAAGAGGCATTCGAAACGCTCCAAGATGACGAAAAACGAAGAGTTTTCGACTTAATGTATGACGACATTCGGGAGCAGTGGGACCTGTATGCGCGGGGGGAAACTCGGGGACGAAAGGAAAAGAAAGCCCCAAGCAACCCACCCTACTCACGACCAGCGCCCGCACCAGAGAAGCATTTTTCAGCACGAAGAACAAGTCCTGCAACGCCAACGTTCCGGGTTCACTCCCCAGAACCACGCATGCGAACTAAAGCGCGCAGATCGCACTCACCCCCTCAAAGAACCAAAACACGCTCACCATCCCCCCAACTACGACATTCTTACAAGTGTCACCGCCCATGGAAATCAGATTTGCCATCGCAGAAACGCGACCCATCACCGAAGCGACACACATACTCACAATCGGCCCCGTCGTATAGTTACAAAACTATCAGACCCCGATGGGCCGCTAATGACGAAGTTCCCGTCATAACACCTAAATCACACCGACGCGATGAACAACCAGAGTATGAAGAAGTCCACCAACGCAGCCCGCGTAGCCCGCGTAGCCCGCATACCCCAACCCGAACCCAAACAACCCCAGCCACGCTCTACGCCGAAACCTACCCGGATTACTACGTGCAGCAAGCGACAGCTACAGCAGTACTAATTGAGCCGCGTAGTCAGTATACGCCATATAAAACTATAACACCCGTCACAGTTGAAAGACCAAGACCCGCGCCATCGCCATACGATACCGTGACAATCCAACCGTCATACAGCTATGCATACTGCCCACAATACGAATACCCAGTGCTCGTAGGCAGTAGCCGACGATTAGGGAGCGTCGTTGATATGCGATATGCCCCAACACTGAGGATGCAGCGCTTTAATTCTAACGTTTTCTAAGTGTGAGAAATTTTCCGGTATACCGTATTTGCGGTGTTTTAGTGGCGTTGGAGGTTGTTCCGTTCCACAACCGCTAGCATAACGGGGGTGCCATGAGGTCTTAATACCACATCACCTTTTGCGGGCCCTTTTCGGTGTCTGATCGCGAGGACTATTGATCGGGGGGATAACGGGCTGGCATGTGGTTATGATTCAGGGCTCATGGGCAAATGATACGAAAAAACAGACACATTGATAACGACAGGAAACAGCGAGATGAATTTTCATCATTTACTATATTTTGCACTTATGTTTGACCTTTGGCACTATGATACGATACGCGCTTGTGTAACAGGGCTATTGGCTGGAGGATATTCTTTGGTCTTCGTTCCCCTCTTTTTTTTTCCACTCTATTACTTCATTCTCCATTCCTCCTTTATACCACTCTCGAGTCTTCTTCTTCTTCTTATGCCACATTTACGGACACCTTTTTACCTTTAGTGCTTTTATCTTCTGTAATCTCCCCTTCATTCTACTTCTTTGATATCCTTTCTTATTTTCTGGGGATTTGGGTTGGGGGCTGGGACTGGGTTGGTGATAGGATTTTGGTAGAGGGTTTCTACTGGTCGGTTCCTGGGGAATTTCATTATTACAATTAGTAGCCTTGTTATGATTTAAAGATCATTACGGTGCAATCCTGTGATTTAAAGATAGCAGCTATACACAAGTCATTTACATAATAGGATATATATACTGCTACCGCCGCGTTTCTGGTCATTATTGGCATTTCCTTGTTATTTCCAAAATATTAAAATCAGCAAATCACTCAGTTACGCACAGTAATTCAAGAATCAATTCCACTCAATGGCTTGTGGCTAGTTAAAGATTTGGTGCTTGACCGTATCAGAAGGCATTTCCTAAAGCGGGAAAGCATGTCCTTCCTACTTAAATAGGTCACGCCAAGGTTGGAGTGCTTTCGACGACATCTCATGCTTTCTGATATTCAATCACAATCACATCGACCATCAACCATCAACAACTCAAGACGCCTTATGAATACAAGTAAAAGCCGACCATGGGATCCAAGACACCTAACGATCATCGTCGAGGCCCAAATGGTATGGGAAAGAAATTATTAAGTTGGTCCCTTTTTGTAGCAACCCCTTCTGACGCCGTGAGTAGAGTCATCGCCCCACGCTGCAATCGATACCATCAATCCTCCGAAGCATGCCGCAGCGAGTGGACTCCTTCATGGTCCACTCGAAGGGGAAACCGAAGACGGGGAGGATGAGGATGACGATAAAACTGGAGCCGACCTAAAATCTGTTGGTCAGCTCAACAATAGTAGTAAGCCAACCTGAAGTAGTATGTATTTACTTGATACTAAATCACGAGAAGCCAAGAAGAAAAACAAGAGAAAGAAGAACAAAAAGAAGAAGAAAACGCTACTGGGCGGGCTACAGACGACTCCGCCTAGGGTTGCATTGTCCAGCATCTTTTACAACCAGCGATACCCAGAGGCTGAGATTGTCGGATACACCACGAACAATGACAATCTTCAACGGATCACCGCTGAAGAATTTCGTCACCTATGCGTCGTAAACGACATGGACGATGAGTTCTTGAATGATTATCGCAAAGCTGCCGAAGTCCATCGCCAGGTCCGCCAGTATGTGCAGACAATCACAAAGCCTGGCATTGCCATGAGCCAGCTTGCCCAAGAAATTGAGGACGGTGTTCGTGCACTGACCGACCACCAAGGTATTGAGACCGGAGACGCTCTCAAAGCCGGCATGGCATTTCCAACCGGGCTCTGTTTGAATAACATAGGAGCTCACTGGACTCCCAATCCTGGCGCAAAGGAGGTCATCCTGCAGTACGACGATGTTCTCAAAGTAGATTTTGGAGTTCATGTCAATGGCAGGATTGTCGATAGTGCCTACACCATGGCTTTCAATCCAGTCTATGATGATTTGCTTACGGCTGTCAAGGCAGCGACCAATACCGGTCTTAAGGTATGAAAACGAAAGTCTGCCCTGTACCACATTGCAATGCTAAATAAACTCCTAGGAAGCTGGCATTGATGCTCGGATTGATTGCATCAGCGAGGCAATCCAAGAAGTAATGGAGAGCTATGAGGTTGAGCTCAACCGAAAAATCATCCCCGTCAAAGCGGTTCGAAACATAACAGGTCATAACATCCTTCGCTATAAGATCCACGGCGATAAACAAGTTCCCTTCGTGAAGACACATACCAACCAACGCATGGAAGAAGGCGACATCTTTGCAATTGAAACGTTCGGTAGCACTGGCAAAGCGTACCTCGACGACGACATAGGAATTTACGGCTATTTTTGTGATGAGCATGCTAGCGCTGCTGGACTTCATCACTCCTCCGCCAAATCGCTACTGAAGACCATCAAGGACAATTTCGGGACCCTGGTCTTCTCCAGACGCTACCTTGAACGGTTAGGAGTAAAGAGCTATCACCTCGGCATGAGATCACTCGTCTCGAAAGGCATTGTCCAATCATATGCGCCGCTTGTGGATGTTCCTGGGTCCTATGTCGCCCAGTTTGAGCACGTAAGTGGATTCCGTGTCTTGAACACCTTGAGATATACTAACACAACCTTTTCAAATAGACTGTTTTGCTCAGGCCAAATTGCAAGGAAGTGATCTCTAGAGGAGATGACTACTAAAGAGAAATGTGGGAGCAATGCCTCTGTTTTAATTTTCGGTTTTCCTTGACTTCAATAGTGATGGAAATATGACCTTGCCAAATGATTCAACATCCTTTTCTTACAACATCTATGACGCTCTTTAACCGCAAGAGATGAGCAATTCAATTTACTAGCGTATGAAACTCTGCTCTTTCGTTCTATCGCTTCCATTCGTCCATGTTGCATCTACCCGCTCCGGTGGGAAGCTGTCTAGTAGAGACAAAACATTGCTAAGCATGTAAATATAACTGCAATGCTCCCCAACGCCTGGCCCCCGCTGAGAACACTTGATCAACGCACCGAATAGCCTCTCGGTATTGTTAAAAGCGAGACGTTCATACACAGAAAACTGCACTCAGCTGGGCGTTTGAAGCACCAAGCTTGTCCTTCGCCAATATCCCTATTGCGTAGTCTTCCATCTCTACTCAAGCCCTCCATCGAGGAGTAAGTCCGAAAAATCTTGCTCCAGTTGCCAATGCCCAACGCACTTCAAAATTAAACATTTTTTACTACTTAGTTAATCGAAGTTCTGAAAGACCTCACGCAGAATCTAGGCAGTGATATCCGGACCTTTCAGGGGACTCCTCGGTCCGCCAATCTACGCACAACATCATTCTTCTCTGATCACTCCAATCATTAAAGACAACTGTCCCGAAAAGTGATGCGCACGAACCACTGGCTTACATTCTACTTCCACTTCCACATGCCCTTTGAACGATTTTGCGGGATTTTGGAGCTTATGTGCTAAAATAACTCAATTTCCCGTTAGATAATGAAGATATCTATATATACCCCAAGCTACTCAAGAAATTTCCCGAGCACTGTAGAGCACAGCAGCTATCTGTGATTTGGTTTTTGTAAGCTGAATGAGCCTCCAATGCTGGCGTGAAATAAATCTCCGATCGTTCCTTTCATGCTTCCGTATTCGAAAGGAAAAGAGTAATAAAAGGAAAATGGCCTGAATAGGCTATGATGGCATCTAACTATGCAATGATGGGCGAGAATCTATCCGCCGTTTGCACCAACAACGTCCACTGCTCAATCAGTAGCAGTCGTTGGTATTGGAATCGCGCCTCCTGGAGAATTTTCGTTCCGCGCAGTTAAGACCTCGACGCCCGTGTCCGTAACAAGCAGAGTGTGTTCTACAGCGCATGTTAGCAGTGTTTGGCGACCCATAAGAGCCTAGGAGAAACAAGAGGCAAATGACAACAGCCAGAACGAAAACGAAAGCCTCTTGTGGTCAATGTGCAAGCACAACATGTTTATACCCACCGAATTGAGCAGTACGCCCACCATCAACAGTAACATTCGTCCAATTATCCGGCCAATAAACCTCCCTTCCCCTCCCCAGCGCGAGGATAGGTTCAAGCGTAAAAGCCATGCCGGCCTTACAAACCCCAACCGCCTTGCTCTTGGCATAATGCGGGATCCACGGCGGGGGGTGGAAGTTGGTGTTGATGCCATGACCGCCCCATGTCGCCATGATACTGCAGTTTCTGGCCTTTGCATGCATCTCGATGACGTTGCCAAAGTCTCGGATGGGCGTGCCCGGCTTCACGAGCTTGATAGCTTCGTTCAAGCATTCGCGAGCCGTTTCGACGACCCGGACTGAGTCCGGGTCTGCCTTGGCTCGCTCGCCGATGTAATATGTCTCATTTACGTCGGCGTGGTAGCCCTCGTGGTATAAGGAGATGTCAAGATTGAGGATGTCGCCATCGAGGAGGATTCGTTGGTCGGGGATTCCGTGGCAGACGACTTCGTTTGGAGAGGTGCATAGGGACTTTGGGAATTTGTTATAGTTCAAGGGGGATGGATATGACTTATTTTGAGATAGTTAGGAAGGGGTTAAAATATTAATAAGAATTCCATCGAGTCATCCCTTTTTTCTTTTTTTTTTTTTTTTCTATTTTCCGAATAAATGAGACAAGGAGTTCGTGCTTACATTCCGTTCTATACAAGCTCTGTGACAAATTTCGTCAAGATAATCTGTGGTAACACCCGGCTTGAGCTCGGCAGCGACAACATCCAGTACCTCTCGAGCCAGTCTACAAACCATACGCATTGCTTCCTGACCCCTGGCGTCCAGGATGTCAATTTTCATCCTATTCAAACGCCGCTCGCTCTTGGGTATACCGGTCTCAGCATAGTCGGGCCGTGCGATTGATTGGGGAACAGGGCGCTTCGCAGAGAGCGGGTAGACGGGCCGAACAGAGCCAGTGAACGCATATGTCGGGAAAGGATTGTATAAGCCGGTAACTGGATCTGGCTGAGGGGTGATTTTGTGTACAGATTTATGTTGGTTCTACACTCACGTCAACGAGAATTGAGGTGAGGTTTATTTTCTCCAAATCAGCCTCTCAAATCCTTCATGTGTTACGAACCGGGTACTATCCGCTGTCAACGAACCCAGTTCTTCTTGAAGCAAACTTGGGAACAGAAGTAACTGCCTTTTATCGCTAGCTTCCGACATGTTGGGCATTGAAGAGCTCCAGCGTCATTTCCACAGTCTAAGCCAAGGCACTTCCACTTCCTGGATGGTTGTAGGTCTGCTAGGCTGTCGGCCATCATACCAGGCAAGGCTCTGGGCCCTTGTAAGTCGGAGGGACACACGGCAAATAGCCAGATCAGATCGCAGAGGGTGGAAACCGTAAAGAAAAGCACGTATCTCGCCGCCAATATTGTGTTTAGTCAAATTCAGCCTCGGGTTTCTGATAGTGTTCTGGCAGCCCCGTTGAATTGTTGAATTGCGCAGTGTTGTGCGTAAGACCACGAATGATTAGTTACTACTTAAATCCGTTGCCAAACCATGCTACATAGGATCAGGCATAGTGCACACCATCAATGCCGGTTTCACCGAATGGCGACTCAGCTCCATCCGGCGACAAAAGATGCTATTTCTATTTCTATGCTAAATCACCGGAGAAGGCCATTCTAAAAATAGCCACGAGGGCGACGAGACAGACGGCGCGCCGCACAGATCTTGTCAGTTAAACTGTCTTGGCCTAAAAAATCACTTATTAGTTAGTTATCTCGATATTTCACTTCTTCTCGCATAACTTACGTAGATGAATCGCTCTTTGCCGCGTTGGCACTTAACGGCGACAAATGACGACGACGAAAACGACGACGACGAAAACGACGACGACGAAGACGACCATGCGGGTTACACTGGAGAGCGCCCATATTTTAGAAAGAGAATGTATTGATTTCTCCGCTAATGCGCTGCAGCGGGGCAGGGCTGCGCAGAGTCTTCAACAGTCGTGCACCGGTCAAACGGCCCCGGCGACTCAGCCCGTACCACCCCAGGAGATAAATTTGTTGGCATTCCAAGGTTCTTTCAGCTGCCTGGGACAACATGGTGCAGGCCAAGCAAGCCGGTGTTATTGCTAGGGGTGAAGTGCACAACACCTGACAGTTAGGAAACGCCCTTACTACGGAGTAGTTAAGGTTGAGAGAGCCCTCGGCAAAGAGGCCAGTGAGTTGAATAGAGGCGGCAGCTCGTAGATACCTAGGTAAGGAAGATCAAAGGCCCAAGACACTATATAAAGGTCACAAAATATAATAAGGATAATAATAAAGATATCATATATATATATATATCAGCAATTGTCGTGACGACACCGGAAGTACCTTCACACCGGAGAATGGGGCGGAGGTACATACACGGCGCTAGCATTGGTTAGGATTGATTAGGCAAGGATTCTGCCGCACCATTCCCGTATCCAGACTAGCGTCCTCGCCACCGCTTTCCCTTTACGGGCAGGGTCTAGCCCCTTTTGGAAATAAACAACCTCACCAACGACGACTTCATCCAAAACCTCATCGTCAACGCCAACATCAACAGCAACAGCAATGCAATAATAATAATAATAATGGCTATACGAATGCCTGTCCCTTTAGTCTATATCTAGTCCTAGCATCCTCATTGTCTGCTTGGCTCTGCTAGGAGCTGGAGCGGTGTTATCGATGTAATCGGTATCCCAACCTCCTTTTTCTTTTTTTTTTCTTTTTTTTTTACCTTTTAACTTTCGGCTTGCCTTTGCCTAGCATGGAAATCCCTGCCTGTAAGCCACAGTCAAGCTCTCGTCCACGTTTCGTTCTCTATCCCTCTTAAATTGTGCTTATTATCCTTTTCCACGACTTATATTTTACTGGTCCAGCCTGTGAGTCTTTTCCGCTTTCCACGGTTCGGTTTACCGAATACTGGCTCGTCCAAGCTCTCTGATGAAACTTTTTCCTACAGCTAGCAGAGAAGTGTCAGGCCCTCCCACTTTTTTCTTTTTCTTCTCCATTTTTACCAAAATTTCATTATTTCATCCTCCCCACAGCATACGATCACCGCAGAAACACAACAACCGGACCTATATGTGAATGATTATAAATAAAAGACGTCCCTACAGCGTAAACATCCCATATAAAATCCGGAACCAAGCCCTTCTACAACCTCTTACAACCTCGAGGTCCAGAAAATCCTCCGCTGCTTATTCCGCGGTCTCTAACGAGCCCTCCCCCAACCAAAATCCGCGCGGCGCAAGCAGCTAAACGTCGCGCGCCCCAAGAAAGCCTAAGAGGCGGTTGTGGCTCCATGCCTAGCCTCCACTATCTCAGCCATTCAAATCCATTATTCCCAGCCAACCAGTTCTCCCCGATAACAATGTCGTCCGGCTTCTGCACATCTTAAGCCCCAATTCTGCGTCTTCCCTGTCGTCCTATTCCAGTTAGCTCTTGGGCTGGAGAGCCCGTCGCTCCTTTAGTTTCCCCCGGTTCCAAAACGCCTCCGCTGCATACGCATTTAATTCTCTTTCTCTCTTTTTTTTTGCCCTTTCACCCAACGAGATCGAGTGTCCATTTCAACCCCCATTTCTATTCGTCCACTCCTTTGATTTTATTTTATTCATTTTATTTTAAACGCATTTTAGCTTCCAAGTTTCCCTGATCCCCCTGAAAGTACCCGTCACACGTTCGTTCTTGGCCTTGCCCTCAATCTTCTTCTCCTCGATTGTGCAAACAAAACTCGTCACCATTCCCTGGGGATCATTCAATCCTTCTACGCTCCTTTCTCATCTACCTTACCTTTCATAAAATTTCATTTCCTCTGGCCTGCGCGCCCCTTCCCTTCCTTCTCTTTTTTTCGTGATCCTAGATTTCATATCTTGTGGCCCTCCTCGAAACTACTCGCCATCCCCTCCAGCGAACGATCCCATTCCGTTTTTAGTACCGATCTAAAAGAAGCGAACAGGAGTCTAGCGTCGTTCTTCCTCACGATACCATACCAAACCTCTCCTCTTCACTTCAACAACAACGTCCCCTGGCCTCCTCCCAACCGCAGCTTCAACAGAATTTCTCACCTGCATGAAGAGACAATTCTGTCAATTGGACCAGCCCCTCGCTTCTCCACGCCTCAGCCAAATTGCTATATTTCTTGCCTCTACAAACCCCCTTCTCTTGCTTGACTTCTGGGGGGAAGAAATCTAGCTTTTTCGCTCCCCTTCTCCTCTGTTTTGCGCACTCTCCTAGACTCTAACCCACCTCCTTAGCTAGGTGGTGTTGAAAAACTCAAAAACCTCAACAATGCGGAAAGGCTATCTCATATTTATCATCGTCAATTTCCTCATCGTCGCGTTCCTCGTGCGCAGCGTATTTACGCTCCTGACCCTTCTAATCGAAGATGCCTCGGCTGATGCAATTCGACGTTCGGACCTACCTTCACCCAATTCGAACTTAATCGAGTCCCGTCCACAGATTATTCCCAAGATCATCCATCAGACATATAAGAATACCTCAATTCCTGCTGTGTGGCAGGGTGCTCAGCAGAGCTGCATCAGTATACATACTGATTATGAGTACAAGGTGCGTTTTGTTTGAAAAAATAACAAAGGAGAAATAGGTTCCGCATATGGTGCGACTCCTTGTCGTTGGCTGGGAGCCGGCATACAATGCAATTGTCCACAAGGTTCCAACTTTGCTTGGGGAAAGGAAATGGAGAAAAGCCAATTGAGGCTAACGAGGAAACTATTAGCTTTGGACGGACGAGAAATCGAGAGAATTTATCGCGAGCGAATATCCTTGGTTCCTAGAAACTTTCGATAACTACCCGCATAACATTCAACGCGCTGACGCCATTCGATACTTTGTGCTGGCACATTATGGTGGCACTTACATTGATCTAGACGATGTATGTTTGTTTGGATTTATTTGTCCTCCCTTCCGTTTTGTTGCTCCTGCAGGGAAGAAATGCAACCTGCACCCAGGTGTTTCTAACTAATTCAATGCTTTTTTATACTACAGGGTTGCAACCGTCGACTGGATCCCCTCCTCTCCTATGGTGCCTGGGTCCGTCGCACAGCGCCCACGGGCATCTCCAACGACGCTATGGGGGCTATCCCCCAGCACCCCTTCTTCCTCCGTGTCCTCGACTCACTACAAGCGTATAACAAGAACTGGGCGCTACCCTACATCACTGTCATGTATTCGACTGGCCCACTCTTCCTCTCAGTCATCTGGAAAGAATACATGCTCTCCGAGCCCGCCATGGCCGATCGCGTACGCATCCTCATGCCAGACGAGTATAATCGGCACTCATGGAGCTTCTTTACACATCACCAGGGCAGCAGTTGGCATGGCAGAGATGCTAGGTTAATATTCTGGGTGCGTAGAGAAACTCTCGCTATACTCCTCCCCCTTTTTATTGTTTTCAGCGTACACTAACACCAAACCAATCTAGATGGGCGGTCACTGGATGCTTCTAACGGCGCTCGGTTTCCTCCTTGCCGGTGTATTCGGCTTCTGTCTCTGGTGGGCCTACGGCCGCCTCCTCTTCTACACATCCCGCTGCTTTCGCTACTCCCCACTCTCCCGACGACCACCGCCACCGCCACCCCACCCACCGATCCCGCAACGCTCCCCATCGTTCTCACCCTCTCGTCGGCACGGCAACCGGTTATTCCAAGGTTGGCTGCGCCGGCAAAGCCCCGCAAAGCGACGTGGTGACGAGGAAACTGGCCGGTATGCGGATACCGCTTATGAACTTCTCGGCGGGCGCAAGAGCAGTTTCCGGGATGAATGAATAATTTAAAACAAAGAATGCGAATTGAAATAGAACGGGGCGGAGCGGGGGGCGTTTTTTATTAAGCCATCTATTTTTTTCCTCCTCCTTACCCTATCTACTCTTTCACCCAATATAGTAAGCGATCTACCTACCACCAACCCCCTTAATAATTATTTGTATATGTATGCATTATATCCTGTGTGTATTGTGCGAGGGCCTCATTCATGGCCAAAACACGCAGGACAAGAGAAAGCGAGAAATTTCCAGGAAAGCGATTTTGTTTATGTTTTCTTTTAATCAAGTTTCCAACGGGGAGTTGAAGAGCGGGTGGAAAGGGAGGGAAGGGGGAGGGAAGAAGAACCTGTCCCGCCCACTGGTCCGTCCTTTGTTCTCCGTGTCGTCGATTTGCCTTCGTTTTTCCTTCGTGATAGGACGGGCGTACACACATCTTTTGTTTACCAACCTAATGCGCATATATCCCGGTGTTGTGGGTTTTCATCGTCCTATAATTTTGCTCCAATTTGTTAGGAAGTTTTACGGTGTTCATTTATCGGAGTTGCTATTTGGTTTGGCAACTTAGTGTGTTAATTTTTAATATTTTTGCTTCTTCGCTCTTCTTCGTTGTGAATGTTGTACTTATTTTTTTTCTCCGTTCTTATCAACTCTTTTGTTTTGAGGGTTCGTTTCATCTAGTCTAGAAATTGGAGTTGTTTTTGCTGGGGCATATATATATATATATATATATATATATACTGCTCGTTCTATGTCCTCTCGAGAGGGAAGAGAGGGCTCATTATTTATGATTTATCTAATATAAAATACATATTTGTTATCTAATATTTCTGGTATCTGCTCACCCCACACTTTTTCATGAATGAGAAGGAAGATGCATAGAGATTGAAAGAGAATTCACATTGATGAGACAAAGCTGAACATCAGATGCTATTCAGGAGGAAAAACAATGGCATTAACATGCATTAGCCGTATCTATAATTCAAGTCAATAGAATAAGCTTGGTATACGTTTAGAGAAAATTTTCAACGTAGCAGCACTTCAATCGTTATTATTTTGACAGGCCCGTCCATCGCTAATATAAAAATCGGGACAGGAGCAAGAGAACAATACGATCCAACTAAAATAGCTGTCATCATGGGCGTTTCAAGCTCTTTTTTTTTTTATTTTATTTTTATTTTTATTTTTATTTTTTTCCTTCTCAAAGAAAATTGATATTTCCAACAGAAAATACCACATGAAAGGGCAAGTTGCCAAATAATCAGTGATAGGGTCATACGAGCCTCAAATTTACCCATTGATGTCCCCTTCCAACATTTTTGCTGTCATCAAATCGGATATACCCACGACTCTCCATGAGCCAAATGATACCAGGCTATTTGCAACGGCCTGTTGGAAGGTTTGAAAAGCAAATGAAGCGGAACAGAAGATCAGATAGAAGGGAGAAGAAAACCAGTAGAGAGAAGAAAAAGGCGCAAAGTATGTAATGTATATAAGCGATATGTATATGACGAGGGGTTTGAATGTGGGAGACGAAAGCATAATAAACAAAGCGAAAAATCAACTAGCCCCCCCCCTGAGACCTACTAACCCGTAGATGAAAAGAAAGAAAGAAAGAAATAAATAAATAAAATAAAATAAAATAAATAAATAATAAAGTAGATAGACGAACAGAGACACAATACCAAAACAAGACATGCCTGCCAGGGAGAACCGGCCCCAGAAAATGAATCGCTAATAACAAAGAGAAAAAAGGCAAAAGAAGTGAAAGAAGTGAAAGAAGCAATACAATCATTCCCAGCGGAAAATAAAATAGAGGGGAAACGAGCAAGAAAAACGATAAAATATAATTAGCAAATATTTAAGTGTTTCACATTTCCAAGTCAGGTAACCTCCAATCAAGCCTAGGTGGCTGGTTGAAGGTTAGGATAGGCCCCTTATCATTCTTTTGCTCCCGTCGCTCCGCTGATCGCGCCAGAAGCAATCCGCGTAGCGAGGAAGCAGTTTCGGATAACCGGGTGCCTGTGCCGGTTGATGTGCTAGTGGATGTGCTGGCGCTCAAGTTGCTATTACTCTTGCTTGTGCGGATGCTGTTACCTGCAGTCGCTGGGATGGCAAGGCGTGGGAGGGGCGGGGTGGGGCAGGAGTTTGTGGAAGATGTTTGTAGGCCGCTAGATGTGTGGTATTTGAGGAGGGGAGGGCGGGAAGAGCGGGTGTGAGAAGGATCGGGTGTGGATGATTGCTCATCAGTCTTGGCGCTTTGGATGGTAAGCTTTTCGTCATCGTTGCCGTTTTCAAGCTCGGAATTTTGCTCTGCAGTTCGGGTTTCATAAGGTAATGGTTCTTCACTTCGGGTTGGATTGGTCTCATCAAACGAGAGCTGGTTGAGGAATGTACCAAGGCTGGCTGCCGTAGTCGGCCGGCCATCGCTCATCGCATCGTCGTCGGTGCCGTTACTGTATTCATCGATAAGACCATGGGCCAGATTGTAGTTCCGGACTAGATACCGTTGGAGGCGTTGTACTTCAATATCCCATTTCTGGCTTAGCGATTGAAGCACGGCTTGCACATCATGCCGGATGAAGTGGGGTGGGGTGGTTGAGCTAGCTAGAATAGGCGCGGATGAGGCTAACGGCGAGGAGACTGTGGCTGTATGAGGATTCCCCTGTTGTAGCGATGCCGGTGCTGCTTTTGCCAACTTGTTACCCGAGCTTGTACCTCCCCCAGAGACAGCGGCCTGGAGAGTTTTGCGGATAGTAGTTGCTTTAGACCCGCCGGAGTTTGAAACGTTCTGGCTCACGGATTCGATTTCACGACGAACCCGTTCTAGACATTGCTCTCTGTCCCGTACCATTGCGGGAAGATGCAGAAGCTTCTTGTTTTTCTGTAGGCCATTAACTAGTACGGTAAATGACTGGAGATTAATTTCATTATTATCACAGTAAACTTCAAAGAGGGTTCCATTTTCCTCTAACACAGAAGCAAGTGTATTAGCCCCTTGAAGCCCCAGTCTCTGATGTTCAATCTTCAGTACCCTCAGCGAAGTGTTCTTCTTCAGCCCAGTCAAGGCAAGGTTTAAACCAATACCAAACCTAGCAACGTCTAGGTGGGCATATTCACCGCTGATATCTAATTCCTCGATTGTGGTATTTTCTTCGAACATTAGTTGGAGCGCCTTGCACGTTTCCGGGCCAGCATCATATGGCAGAGACGCCTTCGATATGTCGAGATACTTTAATGTTGTGTTTTTCCTCACGGCATCAACTAATTGCCGGAAGTGGTCTTCTTTTTGAAATTCCATCATTCTCATAGTCAGATGAGTTGGAGTCTTATTGTTCGCAATCGCGGTAACTAGGAGGGAGTAGTCCAAATGAAGGCGATTCTCGCTGACGTGAAGATGGATGTTTCGTGGTTTGCCTGAATCACTGGTCATAGAATGGAGAAACACAGCAACGTCTTTTCCTGTAAGGCCACATTGGTCGAGCTTTAAATTTCGAAGTGTACTTGATTTGGAGCTTGCCAGGTATGCTGCGATCGAATCCACAGTTTGTTCATTAACCGCTGTGTGACTCAGGGACAACTCTTCGAGTCGCCAATTTAGTAGTGTTTCTGGAGCTATTAGAGGTTCCGGTCCGGTTGTTCTTGAAATGTGGGTCAGGTTTATCTTTCGGATGTGTGCAAAATAGCCTATTTGCTGCTGGAATAGTTCTGGGCTTAATCTACCCTGAACACCGGAGATATCAATGGACTCCAGAGTGTTCTCCTGAGCAGTGAATGTAGAAAGAATGAGGTCTAGATCATGAATTGATAGGCCGCAATGGCTGATCTCAAGGGCACGGAGGTGGGATGATTTCTGTGACGCAGCATCAACCAGATAATCTAGGTCCGAGTCGCCGAGTTTGATTCCATTTAATACGACCCAATCCACGTTCGTTAGCTGGCGTCGACAAAGGGGGAATATCGCCTCCGGAATTCCGCAACCCGGATCAAGCACCCCCCTGCTCGAGGATGGCTGCCTAGTTAGACAAAACGAGAAATCTAGCTTTCTAAGACGTTTATTCTTCAGACATAGGGCGCGAATTTCCTGGGACAAGATAGACATATTCTCTTGGCCAGGTAGTCGAATAGCAAGGTTGGAACGGGTTGTTGCAGCATCTATATCAATTCCACAGGGGTCGCGTATACTATGAAGAACGTCTAAATTGATATCCATGAACGAGATTGTAACGAAGGACTCATTATACCGTAGCGAGCGCATAACAGCAAGAAGTTCTAAGGCGGAGTACTTGCGGCGGTCCTTGCCGTTTGCGGGCTGTAGTAAACGGAAGCATGGAGCATCATCACAGGCGTAGTCGATTGTATAACGTATGTTTGAGGTGTCGATATCGTAGGCGGCGCAATAAGCAGTAAGAGTGCGGTCGAACCCACCATGATCTTGGTCCACGTACATTAATGGAGTGATTTGATCTTCTATATGTTGAGGAACGTTGAAGGCGAAAGGTTGCTGGAGCCATTCGGGCCTAAGCCATTCCGCTCTCTGTCGTATCAGAACAGCGATCTCGCTCGAGAACGATGACGAAAGATACAAGCCGAAAGGATGACGGAGTGGGACACTGGGAGAACGTTAGTGAGCGCTACAAACGAGGGGTAGTATAAAATCCTGGAACGACACCGCCCAAAAGAAAGGGGGAGGGGGGGGAATAATATATAAATATGTATATATATATATAAGAAAATAAACATAAAAATACCGGAAGACTAGCTGGAAGGCATCGTCGCCTCGTTGCATCGATAGGGACGCCAACGTCATCAACCCAAATGACATGTTCATATCCAACTCGGTTAGAGAGGCGACGGAGCCCCGATTGGATGACTTTGGCAGAGGTATTAAATGGATTTTATGGACGCCGATAGCCAGATAACACACATTCGAAGTAAGCTTCGCGAGATCGTCATTCGATGATCTACTACTAGACTTGGCCGACACGCGTTGCACGACCTTGTACATTCGGAAACAATCTGGGTCATAGTCTCGTTCAAGTTCGAGGGCTCTCGCAACGTATTCCACAGATTTTTGGTCAAACATCGGAGGGTCTATAGCTCGGGCTTGCTCTGCTGCTGCACGGATACCCGCTAGCCATAGTCCAGATTCCTCCGGGTCATTAAGCTGCAGCTGCAACGACGATGGTTTGGGGGATCGTTCATCCATATGACAGACCTCAATTGAAAAGTAAGGTCGTCCATCATCAAGCTTGTAGACAGCCACTATAGAGCTCAATGGTATTCCCGACGCAAGGTCCGAATAGGTCGCCAGCTGTGGGTCTTGAAAGGAAGCAATCGAAACCATTGAATGTCGATTCGTGGATGTTGAAGCCAGAGAATTTCGACCCCACGAAGCCGGGATTGAGGGGAAAAGCTCTCCCGCCTTTGACTGGCTCTTGAACCGTACCAAATGCGTATCCGTTAGTACTAGGTACTGACTCTTCTTCCGCCACATGCCGCCTGTTGTTTGGACTTCGCCATGGTGTAGGACTTGGTTGCCCAGGAGGGATTTCAGGGTGGCCAAGCTTGTAGCAAGGTCTTCTTCGTCGCCCGAGGACGCTTTGGAACGGGCTCTTGTCGAGCGCTGGTCGTCATCGATTGAGCCCAGCGAGCGCAAGGACCCAAACACGGATTTTCGCATGGATTTCTGAGAGGATTTCGACCGCGTATTGGTGAACTCATCTGTGGACTGGAAGGCGAAGTTTTCCTGTATAAAGCCGCGAGAGAAATTAGGGACTGAGAGAAAAAACTAGAGAGCCCAAAACCATAATTGGTGGAACGGCTTGGCCATTCAGGGAGGCATCGAGAGTGTGTAATGCCAATATGGTTGGAAATAACATGCAAAATATTTTGTTTCAAAGGGAGTGAAGCAGAAAGGATTAATATTATGGCAAACAGGGACGTGGTGCAATTTACCGTGACAAACAGGGAGCCGCTACTGTAGGGTCGCCCGCTGTTCTTCCGCAACCTTTGCTGCACCCTTGGCGGCTGCAAATCTGAGCGGTGTGCTGTCTCATACCAGCCATCGGAAACAGATCGATCGTGTCCGCGCGGGGTTTTGGCTGGGCCAGCAAAGCCAGAACCCAGTAATCCAGTCCGGCTAAAGAAACTTAAGCTCTTCCTCCGCTGGGCCTTATTATTATTAGATCTCTCCGCCATCGTGGTAGCGAGGGAAGAAAGAGTAGTCCCAACCAAGAGGAAACGCCGAATAACAGAACCTCGCGGAGATCCAGATTGGGTAGAAAGAAGAGCACAAGTGCAACTCAAGGGAATCAGTGATTGGAGGCTGACCGATAGAGGATACAGAAATTGATAGAGCCAAAAACAAGCGGAGCTTGTGCTTCCAAGCCCCTCAGCCTTCTGGATACACTATCGTCTGGAGAACGTATTATCGAACGACGCTATTACTACTAGCTCATCCAGATCAGCCGATCAACAACAAGCTGGCTGGCTGAGATGCCATGCCGAAAAGGGCGACCTGTCACCGATCGAATGGCGTCCAGTAACACCGTAGAATGGAGGGCGGTGGATTCTTATGCAGTAGTCAGACGGATGAGGTGGCTGCGGGATGTGGTGTCAGTGCACATCAAGAGGCAATCTAAATATGATTCATTGATCTAACATCGGCAGACGGAATATGAGGAGAAGAAGGAGAAGCAAGAAGAGAAGAAACGCAGGTGGGTGAGTTGTCGACGAGAGGGGTGAAGTCGAGGTTGGAAGGAAAATGTCTTGGATGCGAGCCGAGCAGAATAGGACGATGTTATAACTAAGCAAAGCAGGCCGCTGGATACGGTATCAATACACGCCCTCAATAATACGATACATCTACCATATACTTACTATTATTTTCTCTACGCAGCGTCTGTCCTCCTGCTCATCGTCATCAAACAAACACATGGCATAAACTGCCGGCAAACGGCATGTCGATCGGCGATTGATCGCTATTCCATTGTTTGAACAATCCTCCGAACCAAGGTGCTGTGTGGCCCTGATAAGGTTACCAAGGTAAGCCGTGGCTTGCGCGATTATTAGTTACAGAAATACCACCCCAATCATAAGAGACCATATATATATATGTATATATTATTCTCTCGCCGCTGACACGCCCTGCAGGTATGATTGTCATTACTCCGTACTTTGGGAGAGAGTTAAGAGACAAGTTTTGTTTGTCTGTCGTTGGTTTCCAACATGGACTTCTCTCACACTCAACTCCCCTCCAATTATGATTCCACATCGTTCACAACAGCTCTCCGGCCAAACAGTCAAGCTCTCTTTGGCCCTTTAAAAGCGTCTCTGGGACGTCCCGCTGTATAGTCATTGTGACGTGATGGCTGCCCCTTAACCCCTGAACTTCGAGGATGGCTGGCCTTCCATGCAACATCAGCACAATCCTCAATGCTACCTACGTTCTCCATTTTCGACTTAACTCGTTTGCGCTCCGTCTGCTATCCCGCATATGTCTCCGTATTCTTGCCTGATACAGTAAGACGAACGATTGTTTACAGCATCAGAACTTGGAAACAGAAAGATAACTCATGTCATCAAAGGTGCATGTCCAAGTCGACTATATGATGATGACAAAAGGACTGTGCAGTGTATGTATAAATAATCCCATGAGCTATTTGAAATTTATTGCCTGAACCATCAGTTGAGTGCATCTTGAGCGTTACATTGAATGGCAAATAAATATCAAGGACGCGATGCGCGCGAACTACCTTGGAGCACCATGGACGAAGTGACTTGAGCAAAAAATCTTCTCAAAACACACAAACACCTTATCATTATTCAGTCGGTAGATTCTCCGGAGACAGATCGCACTGCTTATACGTGAATGTTGTGTTTTTTATCTACATCGCCAAAACCACCTTCGAAGCAGACCTGTTAGAAATTACGATGGTCGCGGATATCAAAAAAGGTGGCGCATGAATCGGCTAAATGTTCAGAGCTGAAAAATAAGACCAATGTGGGGTAAACCAAAACTTCAAAAGTCAAAACAGGGAAAATGCGAAAACGAAAAGCAGATTCAACGATTTGGGCAAAACTAGTTTTGTGAGGATGGTTGATCTCATTAATCTCGGAGAAAGCTAGCTACGGATTATGGTGGATCACGTGCATGTGAGGCGATCGCTGTGGCAACACGCCTGAGGTGGCGGCCGCTACAGTTTGCATGCTGGCCTTAGGCGCTTTGCATACGCCGCCAGGCACGTCATCATCGACGAGCGCACTATAATCCTGTCGATCTAGAGCTCTTGTCGCCATCGAGTTTGATATTGGGCAAGCTCCATCCAATGGCAAGCCCGTATTGGCGGGAGGTCGAGAACGGGACTGCTTGCGAACCAATCAGGCAACTTGTTGATTTTGCGCGGTTCGCCATCAGGCTCCCCTGTGGCTCCTCTCTCGCGCGTTAGGAGAAGGTTTGGTGGACTGATGGCTTTTTCGGATTCTCAGCCTCCAGGTGAAGCTGCAACTTTGCTTTTTATGACGAAATGATAAGCGAGTATTTAACGTTTGACTGGCGGCTAGGCTAGTGTTCCGTCTTAAGGCACCGAATTGACCAATGAACAACAACGGATTCTGATCGCTCGAAACAAGAGCGTCGACGACGGGAAGGACTTTTATTTATCTCATCAAACATAAAACAGCACAGCGCGCCTTCGAAAGCACCTGTGATCTCTGATAATTATGCCATCGATATCTCTCACAAACAGCCGTTGTTGCTCAACTTTATTTTGCCATTGGAGCTTAAAAAGGTCCACGTTTCGGTAGATCGCGCGCTGGAATTTCCCCTTTTTGTGCTGTTTTTCTTATGGAAGAAGAACAAGAACAACATGGAGAGACGCTTCACAAGTGTATGCAGCCGTGTTTTCTGGAGTATCAGTAGATACTGATAATATATTTGCTCCTCCACTCGATAAGAGGCAAACCCTTTTGGGAAACACAGCCATTCTCAAAATGATACCCATCTCTCTGAAGCTGATTTCCCAAGCACTCCATTTGCTACAACCAACTCCTTCCTCTCCTCACTTGTGAGCTAGTTAATGGTTGTACCGAATTCATCATAAATTAAATCCACCCGTTCGTTGGCCATGCTGATATGCAGCCTTCGCGCAGCTGCTCCATATGTGTATATGGTTGCAAGGCGCACCCAGGAATCGTATCCAGACATCGAAATAGCATCTCATCAAGTCATGCAAATGGTTCAGGGCTATCAACCTTTTTTCTCGAAGCTATCGTAATTATTCTAGCCAGAACTAAACTGCCCTAGTGGTCTTGTAACAGAATATATATCGATATGTGGTGGAACACAGCCGACACGATTGAAATAACCTAAGCATATATTTGTTAAGCAAGATCTAGAATGCAGGCTTGGGCGCTGCTGACTATGATGCTTGCCGTTGAGAGCACTGACAGCGGGATTGTCACAAGGGGTGGAAGCAGGCGATTGCAGAAGTTGTCATTTCTGTTAGTTTTGCCTCTCCCTATGGGATAAAAATCGGAGCCGCCGGTATGTCTGTACCCAAGTCAGGAAACACGGTAGAAAATTGGAGATGGGCTAGAAGGAATAATATCTGAATAATGCACAACATTCAGCGTACGTGTAATCCTGGAGACCCTTCCAAAGTTCACAGAATTCTGGCCCTTCTAGACCCGGAATTATGCATTCTGGTTTAAATATCTGAACCGTCTCACAGGACATTGTGCCCAGTCTAATCTTAGATGCGCCTGGAGCAACTAAAACAGGAGCTTCCTTCAAGCTTTTTCTTTCCGTGTCTTGAAAAGTCGTTCCACAAAAGCAACAAGGGAGGAGAAACGCAAAGAAATCTATTTTCATACTTGGCAATGCCGGGAATTCAGAGAGAAAACATGACAAAAGCAGCATTATTCTATAAACAGGAGCAAAAAATGAATAAAAATATATATGTAAAAGCAACACGAACGCCAAAAAGCCAATTAACTCACATGCGAAAGAACCAAACATCGCATAGAGCTTTAAAAAAAAAAGCCGAGGAGGAAATAATAGTGCGATATTAAAGCCGTATGTTATGCTTATCAGAACAGATGGGGTTGCAAATCATGAGGCAAGCAGAGGGCACCCATTGCATATAGTACAGTGTAGTGTAGTGCTGTGTTCTAAAATGGAAGAATGTAATAAAATGGATAAAAGGGGTAATATAAACATGTTGCCATATATCATCATCATCAAGGGGTAGGTAAGGCAGCAGAAGAATAAAAATATGGGATATGAAAACGCCAGAACACGAAGTATTTATACCCAGAACCCTTTTAAAATACCTTTTGATACATATTTCCTCAGCTCCCGAAGAGCGAACGATGGAAGGCGGCTGTCATATCCACTCTGTTCTATTGTAGAACAATGGTGCCGGTCTCCTGCTCTATTCTATCTTGCCGTCTGCGCCACGCCCTGCCTTCTTGGCTAATCTTCTGCAACTGGATCTGAAAAGCGTTATCCTCGATGGTTTCGTCGTCGTCGAAGTCAAGGCTGAGTTCCCGCCTTCTCTGGCAAGCTGAGTAAATTGCCCACGCGCGTTCTGGGTTGTTGAACGTAGTGAATGTGTACTCCACATCCCACTTGTCTCTGGCAGTGAAAAGCTGTGGCCGCTCGACAGGTCTGCCATTTACCTTGTTGTTGATGGTGATGCTCATGGCAAATAATGGTTTGTTAGCGAAATCCTCGGAAGGCTCAGCGGTGATGTCGGCTGCGGCTTCGCCGTCAGAAACTGTAATTTCTGGCTCAGATGAAACGGGCTCAGTGATTGTTCCTGACGATGCCTGAAGGGAGGTCCCTTCTTGGTCGAGGGCATCTTCACCCTTCTGTTCGAGTTCGTCGGGGAATAAGAGTTTTCTTTGAACAGCTTCAATTTCCGCCTTGTTGCGATTCTGAATCTCTTCAATTTGTTCCTCTGTGACGGGTTCCGCAAAGACATACATGCAAGGTGTTTGTGTCTCCCGCGTTTCGAAATGGAAGCGCAGCGATTGGTTAGGGAATTTTTCGGTAGCCTTAGCCAGAACTGTGTCCCAGAGGGACACACTAAGTTGAAACTCCGCGTCTCCAAGGGCGGTATCTGTTTGGCCGTGAAGGGCCAGATCCATCTCGGGCAAGCTGACATATTGGAAACCGAAGATGCGTTCAATGTTGTGGAAAGCAACAAATATGCCATCCATACGGCCGACGCGAACTTGTAGGGAGTATTTTAGGAACGCTGCGCGGATCATGTCGAAGTACTCGCGCTCGAAAGACTCGAATTTCCCAAATCGACCTTTGATTTGGTATCCGAGTCCACGATCGTAGTGCCTTGTATTCATCCGGATCGATAAAACAGCCCGAGTCTTCAAGTCAAACATGCCGGTGCCTGGAAGGCGGGGGTCGTAGGCATCAAGCTGTGCCCTCATCAAGAAGTTGCCGCAAGTGGTATAATGGTAAGTTTCGGGCGCGACGGCATCAGGTGTAACTTTATCGGTACTCGATCTCCGGTACCGCTCGAATTCTTCAGTGGGCATAGTTAGTAGTTTCTCCATCGACTTGCCCAGGTTCATAAGAATGTTCGCATTGTCATATTCCTTATCCGCATCGATGGCGTAGACCCCATCCTTATAACGCAGAAAGACAGCGGACGGTGCTCGCAAGATCTTTGTGAAGTTCTTTGCCACTTCGGTAAAGCCCTGCGAAATAGAACTAGTATTCAGGGGCCGCCAGGCGGAGAGCAAGTAGTGGAAATGTGACAGAACAGATGTCATGCTTGAAGAGGACCCAATGTATTTCTTGCCATGACGAACGGCCAGCTCGCGCAACCCATCATCCCGCGAAGATGTTATATATTCGTTGAGCGCAGAAAAGTCGAATTCCTTGACCGGCATAATCGATCCCAGATAGGGATCAAAGTTGTACACTCGCGTCCTCGGATCCTGAAGATGGTAAACGCCGGGGCTGTTGTTAAACAGTTAACAGGATGATTTCATGAGCGGAGTTGACATTTACTTACTTGAATAAAGCCCTCTCTAAACCATACGAAAGTCTCGGTACCTCTGCGCCTTCCATGCTAAGAGCTAGAGATCTGTTAGCTATGAAAATAATCACGACGAGGACACGACAGAGGCGAGCGCCTTACGGGTTAATGATACACTTGTCGACTGCAAAATGCCGGTGTGCGCCACACTTGTTGCTTTAGGTTTCTCTTGTTTCTTCCGTAGCGGCTTGGGTGGAGCGGGATCCCCAACTGGCTGCCTGGGACGTCTCGATTGTTGGATGTCTTTAACGGTATTAAAAATTGCACTATCCTGACGGGCACGATGCCGAGGAGACTACGTTCAAGTTAGCTGTTTGAATCTGCGACCTGTTACTTGCGTAAGTGATAGATAAACTCACAAACTGATCGTGTTTAGGTCGACTTGGCGACGGTTTTGTCCTTAGATGTGGAGCAGGTGTATGTACAATGTGTTTCTTGAGCGGTATGTTGTTGCGTGTTTTGCGGACCACGCTCTCTCCCCCTGCGGACTTTGGATTTGCTGGTTCCCTGACATTGTCCGCTCTTCCGATTTTTTTCTGTTTAGTAGCCTTTTTCTTCTGCCTTTTGCCGCTTCCCGGAGTTGTCTTCCATAATAACTAGATATTAGCTTTTGAAAATCCGATTTTCGCCAGTAGGAAAAGATGCGCCGTAGATGAAGGCGAAAGGTTGTGGTCTTATATGGGAAGAAAGGATATGTCACGAATGGCCGCGACTGTATCCTGGGAAGTACTGCTCACCGAGATTGCCCCAATAGGGGGGTATTTTATATTGGCTATCACAGAAGGGTTTGTCGATTCAGAGACCACAGGGACGGTTGTTAGAGAGCGACGAAACGAGCGGACGGCATGGGTACGGAATCCAACTTCAACCAGACAAGGCAAACAGACAAAGCCACACGTGGGGCGTGTGACGGACTTGAGCGATCTCCTAAGCATTCCAGCGGTTGTCTGATAGCGAGAAATAAAGGGATAGGAGTGTTGTATCAAAAATCGTCAATAGAGAGAGGAGGCGAGAAGCAATTTAACCGCGAAAGGAACAAACTGAAAAGAGAAAAAAAAGAAAAGAAAAAAAGAGAAAAAAAAGAAAAGAAAAAAAGAAAAAATAAAGAGAACAGGGAGGGAAAAAACGAAGAATAGAGGAGCGACCCCTTAGAGACTCGAGAAACGGCAATTGAACCTTACAAGAGGTCCGTTACCAGCAGACTCGAAAAGGCGATAATGAATGGATGAAGCTGGAGCTGGAAAAGGAAAAAAAAATTCTCGAGATAAAGCGAAAAGACGGAGATGTATCAGTCACGTGAGAATCTAGTTCTTTTTGGGTTAGGACGCTGAGATTAGCTAAGCACATACAAATCTCTAGAGTTTCAGTTGTTGCTGTGAACAGTGTCTCTTAAATTGGCAGTACGTGTTAATTTACTATATTAAGTATGCCGATAGGTGCTTTTAAACGACCTGAGGTGCTCTATTATTATATCTCTCTACCACACCAGTATCCGTAAGTGTTGACTCAATTTGCCTAGAAGCATAGCATAGTTAACACCCCTTAACTAACGTTACACGTCGGCGAAACGTTTCCCAGTCCCGGCGCAAAAAAGTCCGCAGCCACAAAAAATTCCCACCTGCGGAAAGCATTCGAGGCTTTGATGCCGTGATATATCGCCAATTTGCCGTTTATATTCCCCGATTGTAAGTCAGATCTCTTTTGTCTTGTTACTTTGCCTCGATGCCATTTCATATGTGTTCTCCTTTTTGTTCTGGAGTTTTTCTTCCTTTCGAGGCCCTGATAACCCCACCATGCTGGAAATGTCCCCTCCATGATGCATATGATATCAGCTCAGACCAATGCCAACTGGGGCCTCAAAGTCAATACCGGTACTGATATGTTGATAAGCTACAATGAGGAAGATTTTAATTGCTACTTTTAATATATTTCATACCGGTCTAAATAGTAGATAGGCAATATGCACCCCTCACTCTGACATTTGGGCTAGATTATTTTATGATATGAACATTGGAGAAACCTACTTTGATTCATATTTGGCGTTCTGCTCACCTTCTCATATTGTCATGCTATACATGTATTATGCCTCGATCCTAGTTACCTTACTCCTGCCTTTTAAATTGCACACAGCACATGCCACCAGGGACCGTTTTCTAACTAGAGTTCATAGGCCAAGGGCAGAGAAGCCAACATGCTGCAGGAAAGACTGCGTGTCCTTGTTGTAGGGAGTGGTGGTCGAGAGCATGCATTTGCTTGGAAGCTCAGCCATTCGCCAAGTGTCGATATTGTTTATGTTGCACCTGGAAATGGAGGTACGGCAGCAGGCGACTCCAAGATAACCAACGTCGATATCAAGGTCGACGACTACGCGGGATTGGTAGCGTTTTCTCAAAAGAACGATATCAATCTTGTCGTCCCGGGCCCTGAAGCCCCGTTGGTGGATGGCATACAGAAATTCTTTCAATCCGGTTAGTCACTTCCGCAATCTCACTCAAGATCTTTGAGCCGGCAAAGAAATAGAGAAAAGAGAGAGAAAATTAAAAATCACGGTTAGAGATAAAGAAATTGCAGTAAAACTCAAAATTAACAACATTTGTAGTTGGAATCAGGTGTTTTGGTCCTTCACAGGCTGCAGCACGCATGGAAGGCTCAAAGACGTTTTCCAAGGATTTCATGAAACGCCATAACATCCCAACCGCTGCCTACGAAAACTTCAACGATTATGCCGCAGCAAGTAAATATTTAGACTCCGTCAGCCATGGTGTTGTTATCAAAGCTAGCGGCCTTGCTGCCGGGAAAGGAGTTATTATCCCCCAATCGAAGGAAGAAGCTCAAAAGGCTCTACGGGAAATTATGCTCGACCGACAGTTTGGAGAGGCGGGAGACGAAGTCGTTATTGAAGAATTCCTTGAGGGAGACGAGCTTAGCATTCTTACATTCTCCGATGGGTATACGGTCAGGTCTCTCCCACCCGCGCAAGATCACAAACGCATCTTTGACGGAGATCAAGGCCCCAATACGGGAGGCATGGGTTGCTATGCGCCAACACGAATTGCATCAAAGGAAGTCCTTGAAGAGGTTGACAGAACTGTCATTGTACCCACCATTAACGGAATGAGGAAAGAAGGTAAATCTCGCGGTCCCTCCATCCCCCAAAATAATTCTATTTTCTCGACATATCACTGAACACGAACTTGTAGGTTTCCCATTCGTTGGAATTCTATTCACTGGACTTATGATGACCAAGAACGGACCCAAGGTCCTTGAATATAACGTCCGTGGCGGTGATCCAGAAACACAGACTCTTTTACCCCTCCTGAGCGATGATACTGATCTAGCTGAGGTGATGATTGCCTGTACTGATCATTGGCTTGATGGCGTCACGATAAAAATTGAGCCGAAATTTTCCGCAACCGTAATCGCCGTCGCGGAGGGCTATCCAGGTTCCTACGCGAAAGGTCGAGACATTTCTCTAGCTACACCCGCCGCAGATACCCTAATTTTCCACGCGGGCACTACTCTAACGAACAACCACCTTAAAACTTCTGGTGGCCGAGTTATCGCGGCGACTTCGACAGCCGCCACTCTCGAGGACGCAGTCAAGAACTCCTACACGGGCATCTCCACCATCCATTTCCAAGGGATGCATTACCGCAAGGACATCGCGCACCGCGCCTTCAGATCCACATCCACCACCGCAACCTCCACCTCCGGCGCCGAATCCCTCACCTACGCCGCTGCCGGCGTCTCCATAGACGCGGGCAACGACCTCGTCAAACAAATCAAAGCCAACGTCGCACAGACTCGACGCCCAGGAACCGATGCAATAATTGGCGGCTTCGGCGGCACCTTCTCCCTCTCAACCTGCAACTCAGGCTTCCACCCCTCCTCGCCAACCCTAATAGGCGCCATCGACGGCGTCGGCACAAAACTCGTCATTGCCCATGAAATGCGCACGCATAATACCGTCGGCATCGACCTAGTAGCCATGAATGTCAACGACCTCGTCGTCCAGGGTGCTGAACCCCTCTTCTTCCTCGACTGCTACAGCTGCGGCAAGCTCGACGTCGCCACCGCAGCCGCATTCGTGTCCGGCGTCGCGGCCGGCTGCGTCGATGCCGGTTGTGCATTGGTCGGCGGTGAAACAGCTGAGATGCCCGGGTTATACGTGGGCACGAGTTATGACGCCGTGGGCGCGGCGGTTGGGGCGATCGATACCGCAAAGCGCACAATTCTCCCCGACTTGGAGAAAATGCAGGTTGGCGACGTGCTCCTTGGCCTTGCCAGTAGCGGCCCGCATTCCAACGGATACTCTCTGGTACGAAAGATTGTCGAGCGTTCGGGCTTGTCATACCACGATGTTGCGCCCTTTGAGACCACAGCCTCGTCCCTGGGTGTTGCGTTGCTGACCCCTACACGGATCTATGTTAAGCCACTTCTAGCGGCGCTTGCTACGGCTCCAGGTGCGATTAAGGGTCTCGCACATATCACCGGTGGCGGACTGGTGGAGAATATTCCTCGTGCGTTACCAAAACATCTAACAGCTCTTGTTGATGTGGCGTCATGGTCTTTGCCGCCGGTGTTTAGATGGCTAAAGAAGACCGGTAGGGTTACAGGGGCGGAGATGGGGCGGGCGTTTAATAACGGGATTGGCATGGTTATCGTTGTTGGGAAGGAGAATGCGGAGCGTGTGAAAAGTCTGTTGGAGGAAAAGGGAGAAAAGGTGTTCGTTGTTGGAGAGTTGGCTACGCGTGGAGAGGACGAAGGCTGCGTGTTGAAAAATTTGGAGAGCTGGGAGTAAATTTTGATGTTTGGTTGTTTGGTTACGGATTTTGTACGTCGTTTATGACTTTCTCTTTGATAGATCTATTTTATCTTTCTGTTTAGTGCTCGGTACATTGACTGTAAATTTTTTAAAAGCAATACACTACATTTGGCTATTGGGCCGCTCACTTCCCCTCCTCTTTGATAAGTTAGTATGAACTCGAAGGCCCCACCCATGCTTATGCATTTATAGTCGGGCGCGTTTACTTTAATTGGCGCATACATCACTTTATTTCAACCTCTTCTTATTACGATAATCCCGCGAAAGTAGACAAATACCTACTCACAGTTATTCTCCCTCATCAACAGACTGTAAATTATTAAGGTGGAATATTCGTAAATCAAACTACGATTCTTTTTTCCTAGGATTTAAGTGGATATTCAATTTCGTTTAACTCAACAAATCATAAAGAAGTTAAATATGCAATCACGCAAGGGGAAAAAAAGGATCAAGTTCAAAGGCAGCTCAAAGGTGTGCAGCAGCAAGAGAAATGTTGAAAGGAGAAGAGGCACATTATCATAGCAGGAGTGATCAACTTTTTCGATTTATCGTGCCCGCTCGAGAAAGGAACTTAAGCAAGAATAGAGCGAGAAGTGTAGATAAAGGCCCGAAGTGGGGAAGGGATATTCAAAAGTCAAAGGATCAAGGGAAGGAAAAGGCATCAAAAACTAAATATGAAGTGCTCAAAGAATCGTAAATTCATTGGCAGGGCTAGTGAAACTGGGACAGATGGCTGAAATGTTCGCAAAGAGAGTCAAATTCAAAGAATAATTTGTTGGGAGGGCGTTTGAGTATTCTCAATGGCCTCTCATGATGGCACCAGTGCGTGGAGAGCCGGATGCATCGAGAGGAAACGGGCGAATCAGGCGTAGCGAACAAAAATGAGAATAGGGTTAAAAAAAGCAATGGAAAATTCGTATCCCATCAGTCAAAGCGTTGCGCAGGAGGATTAATGTCCGTCTGGCCGGGGGTCATGTTCAGGGCACCACTCATAAATGTACTCGACGTTCCAGTCTTCTTGTACACAATTGGGGTGTCTCGAACACGGCCCATCGATAGGGGTTCTGCTCTTCAAGCAGAAGCACCTATAGTAAATAGTGTACATCCTGCACATGATAGCGGATTATGTGGAAAACGGTGTCTCCGAGAGAGAGAAATGGAACCCCTATTCCGGATCCTCCAAGTAGAAGCTCTGATAGTTTTGACTCTCTTGACTCACGACGAATCTCACACAAGGAGCAGATTTTGTCAAACTCAGTAACTTCCTCAGAGTGAGATCAAAGGCTACCGGTATTACAGTCTTCGAAATCGATGTGCTTACATCCACACGTGTGACTTAATATCAAAACGCTTGGCACATTTAATATATTATATCGAAGTGTAATATCTTGAATGGCCGCACAAATTGTTGGCTTGAGGAAAACGACCGATTAGCTGTGCCTACAAACAACGCCAGCAGCGTATTTCAAGATAGACATACACCTGGTCGTGTTGGCAATCGGGGGAATCTGGACAGAGTGTGGCGGTTTCTGATTTCAAATGCCCACAGCAGTAATAGGTGAGGACTTGATAGCACATTGAGGATCAGCCGGCAGAAAATTTTGAAGCTCGGTTTGTTGCAAATTGCAGCTTTAGAGACGTGGTATGAAGATAAGCGGTCGGGTAAAGAGAGGACGTGGAGTTTCTGACTTTTTTTGAGCGTGGTGGGAAGGATGGAGGGCAGAGAGTATGAAGGTCTTCTAGTGCGCAAGAGGCCTTTTTCAAGAAATGGAGAGAAGTTGGAAATTGAAATGTGGGAAATGGTGTAGTTTAGTTCGCTTGATAACCAAACTCAATATTTGTGTGAAGTTCGAGATATTGATGATATTAAAGAAGTAGAAAAGAAAACAAGAAGCCAGGAAGTGAGGGTCAATTTATACCCTCGAGCTTCGCGGAAGTTGGTGAAGGCCCGCAACCACCCCATGGACAGGGAAGTTCCGCCCCGCTATACCGCTGGAATTGGCGGCATAACACATTCCATTTCCAGTATATAACACGCTGTTTGTTATATCTTTTTCCCCTTCACCAGCACAGCATTTTGCGCTAAAGCCAAAATGAAAAAGACTAACCTCCACAATGCATGCCTGTATCACGCGATAGCCCGTGGGATTTGCCGTAGCGATATGAAAGAACAGTTTGCCTTTTTTTTTTTTTTTTTTTTTTTTTTTTTTTTTTTTTTTTTTGTTTTTGTTTTTTATCTGGTAGGTCGGATGGTTAGCAAACGGAATAATGAACATGACCAAGAAAGGAAAATAGAACTTGTGTCTCCATCAAGTAGTGAAAAGATAGGTGACAGACGGAATGGGAGAAATGCAGTGATCTGGCATGTGTGACATGATCCGGCAAATACCATCACTGAAATCCGTACAGAGTACATTGGATATAAATATAATCATGAGAAATATAAGAGGTATCACAGCGAGTTTATACACAGAACTTGCAATGAGGTTGAATTAAGCTACTCCACGTGGTCACGCCTGCCCTAAATAACTAACTTAATTAACTAAGTTAAGATTTAGTTAACTGACCCCCTGAAATATCCCTCGGAATCTCCCCTGGGAAAAGTAAACCAATTTTCTCATTTGTACACATCTCCTACTGATCCCTCATAGGTAGGAGGGAGAAGTCCATATTCTAAAAAGACTGAAAGGAAAATAAGCCTCATTTTCTCCCTCTCAGCCAGAGCGTACTCTGCGTACATGTAGCAATTCTAGTACCCTATACTCCTCATTTTTTCACAGGTTTCATGTCCATAATAAAGTCATTTGACTCGTCTTTTTTCACTCTAGATAGAGCCTTGGCTGTCTTCTCCTGCAAGGAGGGCGGGTTTTGCCAGTCTCATGCCTATCATTGGCTCTCCGCAATAGGGTAAGAGGTAAGACTGAATACCGCTGCTCCCCTTTGTCGTTGTTAGATATCAATGAGACCACTTTGTGTAGTGGTTAAATGTTCCACACATGATCGAAGCAGGCAAAACAATGTGAATTCTAAAAGACGTTTTGTTTGAAAGTCCCGACGAGGGCGGTGGGCTTGTATCAACTAGCGGAATCTGTACAGCTACACGGAAAACATTAGCGTTCTCGACGAGCTAAGGTCAGAGTTGTAATGAGAATATTGAATTAGAAGAAATAGGTATTCGATATGAAAAATAAGTGAATAAAAGAGAGAAAACATGGGGTACACATACTTATATATCAAGAGAAGTTATGATTTCAGCACATTGTGAAGCTTGGCCATTCTCTTGAATGATATCTAAAAATGGCAATTCTTTTTTATAGTTAATTACGTATATAAATTTTAGTAGATAACTATATCAAAAGATGCGTTTTACTTACAAGATAACTAGTGCCCCTTATAAAGTATTTCATATTATGAGCCCCTCAATCACTTCTATCAGGAAAGATTCAACCTTAGCCTCTCAGTATATGAGTGATGAGTTAGACTTCACTTTCTCTGACACTTGTGTTTCAATTCTTTCAGCTCAGCTTCACGCCTCTACCCTTGAACTACCAATGTCCTATATGGCTGCTCCCACTTATTCAAACAGAGATGTTTTCTTCTTCTAGTAAAATTTGAAGCTGGAACTTCTCTGGGAGACAGGTAGTGATCTCTCAAATCATGAAAAAGCTTTGTAATGACAAACACATTCTTTTCTAATCTTGTTGTTTTGCTTTGTACTGATAAACCTCAAGAATAAGGAATATATTCACATTGACTCCTTGTTTTTCACATGATTGAAAATAAACCCTGTCACACTTCTCTCACTTTTCACTGAAGTGGGCACAGCTAACTGCATCCTGTCTGTGCACTTTAAAATGTCACTGATGGCTACATCATGGCTGCAACTCCCTATGGATATGAATCATCTAACACATGGTCATAGTGTGGTAGTTGATATGATAGTGATAGATGGGTTGGGCTTTATTCCAGCCTTTTAAGACAGAGTAGCAGAGAGGTAAGTGAGGATCGAGTTCTTGAATAGTGAATTGATCAGAGAGGTGATAGAATTATAACTCCATAACTCTTGAGTGTAAGTGCTTTATAGAGGTATTTAGAAAGCATTTGATGTTATATGAAAATGTGTGCAAAGTGAGAATAGACTTGTATGGCTGAGGCTGATATTATGTATCATATTGATTGATGAAGGCGCACATGATGACATGAAGAATATAATTGTAATAAAAATGAAATATTGTGGACAGTTTTATACTCTTTGATATTATACATGAAGCATTAATCATATTAACTTCCAGCCTGTCATTCAATGAAAAGAGTAAAGGTGTTTTAATAGAGAGAGAGTTTTTAAAACAACATAAATATCAAGAATTTTAACTCAATTCTATCACTTTCAACCAACCTCATTGCCACTGATGCAATTACTCCCAAGGGATAATTGCAGTGCCTGGGAATTGACCAGTGATATATGTTGTCAAAATCTTCTCTTCTTCCGACTCTAAGCTGTTCTCCTCTGACTAGGAAATAACTACACACACTGTGAGGTGGGTGGGTGTTCCTAGGTGGGTGTTCATGGTGCTTAAGGCATGTTGCAACAAACAGTAACTACAATTAGCTATTGAGTAATACCAGGCATACTGGCTGGGATTTATCATCAGTTGCATTAGCATAGTAATAATATTCAGGTCCGATGTTTACCATGGTAAAAACAGCATGTCTAACAGCTTTTCTTTTCCTTTTTAGACCTCTAACTAATTAAGTTAGTCACATACTTGAGTTATGGCACCACCTCTTTTTGCCCTCTTTTTTCGAAAAAAAAAGTGGTAAATGGGAACGCCCCTGGAAGTGAAGGCAGGCCCTTATTGTGTTGGTTCTCATATTATGTCTAAAATTATAACCTAGGTTAATCTTCAGAGGCGACATCCTGAGGATAGTGTTGAAGCTCACAATGCGCAGGAATTTTTACATGAGGATGGGGAAGTCCTATATCAGGTGCTATGAGTGATGTGACTATTTCACTCTAGTCCCTTCTACGAATGTCACTATTAAAGGGGATAGTAGGCTGGCTGAAGTTTTGATCTAGCTGCCGTGTTATACAAATCTGATCCCGTTACCTCTGCTGTATAGGATATAAGGTGGGGGGGAACTAATGAAGTAATAGCAAAGTTGGATTTTACTTGCGATACTTATCGACCTCTACCCACGGAAAGCAGTTATATAAAATACCCAGATCGACAAAAGCTCATCAAAATCCCAGCTCCTTCTCAAGTATCTCCTTCATCAGTATCCAAAGTCCAAAGCCATAACCCGTCAACCCATGCATCCAAGCCCGGTCTTCTCTTGAATAAACCTCCCGGTGTACCGGCCTTCTCCAACATATAATAAACCAAATACCGTTTATCAAATAATGCGCAAAAACCTTCCTAGACAATACAATGGATCAAAAATATCACGGCCTCCATTCTCTTCACCTTGTGGAAACCAAGGTGAAAAGTCAAGAGACCAGTTGGTGACGGCTCAATTTGTGAGAGGAAGTTGAACACTCATGGGTTTTCTGATAGCTGTTCACCATTCCGATTTCTCCTTGTGTCACTGTACATCGATGTGTCTAGTATCCACCAGTTGTAGTCCAGACCGGGAACTGACGGTTTTCACCATACACATGTGGGAAAGCAGATATGAGAAATTGACATCGCGATATGGAAGCAGGAGATGATGTGTGGCAGGCTGACTATGCGCTTCTCTGGGCATATGACGACCATGTGCAGGGCGTAAAGAAGAGACAGACCTATAATTCAGCGATCAATCGAGGGATGTAAGGGAATGAATGTCTGAGAAGATATCAGAACAGAGATACAGAGGGGGTATCTGTGGGAGTAAAGAGTTCCGCTTGAATGGAACGTAGCTCAGATTTGGGATGGCAGGACATCCAAGTTGATATCTAAAGTGGAGGGAGATATCTGACTGAATCCCGGACACTGACCATGTTCAATTGAATGAAAAGGGTGTGGGGAAGACTCGGCCGTGTATCCATAGTTTATAGAAGCTGAGTGAGAGGTATTCGCGGCAAAAGGTCTGGGGAGAGGAGAAGGGGGAGAATCCCAGGGGCAAGGATTCTTAACTAAGAATGTCCCAAATGGAAAGAGAGACGTGAGGAATACCTGCGTTTATCCTATCCGTGGTGTATAGAAATTAAGTGACGGTTTCGAGAACAGGTTGAGAGAGGGAGAGATACAGGAGTATGTACCTCATCAGAATATGAACAAGAAAAACAGTTGCCAATCTTTGACTCACAGTAACTTAACCAGCAACTGTAAAGAAGGAGGATACAACTCCAGATAGCTAGGTTAAAAATATCTCATCAGCTATGAAACTTACAAAGATATCAACTTTGAAACCATCATAAAGGGATGGAGCTCACTCACCCTTCTATAAACATGTAACTAATTCAATTTTAATAATAATAATAATAAATAAAGGGAGGGAAATGGGACTCGCATTTATTAGCCAGGACTATGACACCAATCACCCTCACTCACTCCCTACATCACATCGCCAATACTCTCACTAGTTGTTACCCTTGCGCAATAACCTGCCGCTTCAGCTACTACTACCATGGCGCTATCAACATATTCAGCTCGCACAAGGTGAAGAAGATCGATCAAGCAAGCGGGACTTCAATTCTTTTCAGCCCAAAAAAAAAAAAAAAAAAAAAAAAAAAAAAAAAAAAAAAACTCAATACTCAACTAACAACACATACAAGTTGACGTAACTAGCAAACAATAGGACCCCAATTCTCACGGGCTTTCGACATGGGATTCGATGGAGAGGGGAGGCAAGGGAAATGCAAATTTTGTCTCCAGTTCTCTCTCTCTCGGCGGAGTATGTCGTGTACACGTGCTAGCGGAATAGTTGGTTCCTTGCCTTTTTTTTTTTTTTTTTTTTTTTTTTTTTTTTTTGAGATACAGGAGGAGGGAGTTGAGGGGTGGGGTTGCTCTATCAATCAATCAATTGTCCGGGTCGTTGAGATCGAAAAGGGGGAGGGGGGGAAACTAGAACGTAGGATGAAGAATAACGGAGAGTAAGAAAAACTATCGGGTTAAATTTTGTTTTCTTGTAGTAGTTTTTGTTTTTGCGTAGTTTTTTTCTTTTTCTTTTTTTCCTTTTAATTAAGATGTGTAAAAATAAAAAGAAAAAAAGATGTTTGATACCCTTCTTCCTAAAAGCTAAAAACAACTGCTGCAACAACTTGCAACAACAACGAAAACCTAACATCTCATTTTAATAACAAAAATGAAAAAAAATAAATAAAACAAACGCACATACACACCCCCATACCTTAGAAGCACTTGCGGTGGACAATGGAAGGTCCAGACTCGTCGTACTCCTGCTTTGAGATCCACATCTGTTGGAACGTCGAGAGGGACGCCAAGATGGAACCACCGATCCAGACGGAGTATTTACGCTCGGGAGGAGCGATGATCTTAACCTTCATCGACGAGGGAGCGAGGGCGGTGATCTCCTTCTGCATACGGTCGGAGATACCGGGGTACATAGTGGTACCGCCAGACTAGTTCAATTAGTTAGTATTTTGCTAGTACTAGAAGAGCTAAGTATGGATAATATTCTTATGAACTTACCATGACGATGTTGCCGTAGAGATCCTTTCGGACGTCGACGTCGCACTTCATGATGGCGTTGTAGGTAGTGGCGTGGATGCCGCCGCTCTCAAGACCCAGGACGCTCGGTTGGAAGAGGGCCTCTGGGGCACGGAATCGCTCGTTGCCAATGGTGATGACCTGACCGTCAGGGAGCTCGTAAGACTTCTCCAAGCTGGATGATTGGGAGGCAGTCTGGATCTCCTGTTGGAAGTCGAGGGCGACATAGCAGAGCTTCTCCTTGATATCACGGACGATTTCACGCTCCGCAGTGGTGGAGAAGGAGTAGCCACGCTCAGCCAAGATCTTCATAAGGTAGTTGGTCAAATCACGGCCAGCCATGTCGATACGGGAAATGGCGTGTGGAAGAGCGAAACCCTCGTAGATGGGGACGACGTGGGTAACACCGTCACCGGAGTCGAGAACGATACCAGTGGTACGACCGGAAGCGTAAAGAGAAAGGACGGCCTGGATGGAGACGTAGAAGGCAGGGGCGTTGAAGGTTTCGAAGACGATCTGGGTCATCTTCTCACGGTTGGATTTGGGATTGATGGGAGCCTCGGTCAACAGAACAGGGTGTTCTTCAGGAGCGACACGGAGTTCGTTGTAGAAGGTGTGATGCCAGATCTTCTCCATATCATCCCAGTTCGTGACAACACCGTGCTCGATGGGGTATCTGAGGGTGAGGATACCACGCTTGGATTGTGCCTCATCACCAACATAGGAGTCCTTCTGGCCCATACCAATCATAATACTACAGGCGGGGTTAGTGTCCTTGGTGTCCATATATCATTTTGCTTTCGTGGGAGTTGGCGGAAGGCCGGGTGGGAGAATAATATTTACCCATGATGGCGAGGACGGCCGACGATCGAAGCTATTCCATGTTAGCAGACAAAAAATAATGCAAAATGAAACCAATACCTTGATTTAGGTGGAGAAAAACTTACGGAAGACAGCTCGGGGAGCATCATCGCCAGCGAAACCGGCCTTGCACATACCGGATCTGCAGGTACGTCAGTCAGCATCGCAGAACCAGAGAAGCCTCTGCCTTCAAACATCGATAGTAGCCATAATTGTGAAATCCCACAACTCATCCCATGCATAGGCTAGAAAAGGGGCCACGCAGCGTCAAGTGATGAGATCGAGTTGAGGGCGAAGCAAGATTTCGAAGTTGTTGAGAGGGAAGTTCCGTTTGTGTAGTGCGCAAACTGGAAGGGCGCGGACACAGCAACACAAAGGGGGTGGAGGGAACTATTTCCTCCGGGGGATGAGGTGGGGAGGAGACGAAAGACATACCCATTGTCGATAACGAGGGCAGCAACTTCTTCTACACGAGTCGAGAGAGAACATATTAGCCCAGTATTTGGAAGAGTGGATAGAAAGGATAGGATGGATGAGTGAGAACCAGGCCACGGGGAGGAGGGGAAACTGGGGGCTGACAGAGCGAGAGACTTACCCTCCATTGTAAATTGAAGAGATGGCAAAAAAGGGACTACGAAAATAAAGCAGAAATAGAAAAGAATTGGATGGGAGAGGAATGGAGGGAGGAGAGTTGTGGGTGGGCGAGATGTGAGATGGGGCGAGGTGAGTGTTGGCGAATTTCGACGTTGAAGATGAGAAGAAGAGAAGAGGAAGAAGGAAGAAGAGGAAGTTGGACGAAGAAGAGAAGAAGGAAGTGAAGTGGTTGGGTTGGGTTCGACTGGCGGGTGAGCAGCCGTACTGCGCGGTAATATTACGGCGGTCCAGAGGTTCAGCTCCCTTATATCAAGACCTCCCCCCCTCCTGAGAACAACTGCTGCCTCTGGGTTGTTGAGCATGAAGAGGACGGCTAAGGGGGCCACGGAAGGGGGGGCATGACGAATACATGGTCACATAGAAAAAATGCCAGTGCCTATTCTATTATTATTCTATTCTCCCAGGCATACATGATTTATGGTCATTATCCCAGCTTCTGCCACCATCTGAACATTTCTTGTTTGGTTTTGTGGTTTGTGCGGACCATGCTCTTGCTCCAGCCCGTTGCGCTGGTCTGAGCGGTATCCGCACGGTATTGTTAAATTACGGTATCTTGCCATGTTGTCTAAAACATAACATGGCGGGGTTAAAAGGGACATCTACGGTACCTGTTGCCCCATACAACCTCTGCCTGCATTCCTTGTACCGCATGTGTCAACCTCCATTCCATTCCCCCTCCCCTCTCTCGCGTTAAAACTATACCATACCAGCTGAACAGAATATGAAAAAATCCATCGCTAGAGGAGAACTGCGGCTTCGTGGCATATTATTATACTAGTCTACCTAGTCCGACTATAAGCCACCTTGGTCTTATTTAACTAGTTAGTTAACTAATTGACAGCTTCTTACTAATGAGAAATGAGATCTCACACCATCCCATCCTGGCCCATTCATCCATCGCCTTCCATGGAATAATATACAACATACTGCGTAGTAAGTACGCTCTCCCGAGAATCTCCACAAGGCAACCGCCAAACAAGGGACGCGCGTTGTCCGGCGGCAAAAAGAAACTCAAAACCCACCACAAAGCAGAAAGCTATCTCGGAATCTAGGAACCTAATCCCATCCAACCTATGTACAGTTACCAGTTACATGTACAGTACATGTTGTGTTCTTGTTCTTATTGTTTGAGGCTATCTTCCGTTTGCAAGCAGAGACGTGCTCTGTTCAATTGCAAAGAGGATGGATAGTTGAGCACCACCACGCAGCCTTCCTTGGAGAGTTAGAGCCAACTGACTGTCAACTGATGGCATCTGGCTGGCTCGTCATCTCTCCCCTCCCTCCAACCATCCTTCCAATAACATCATGATCCCTTCCGCTATCACAATATACTAGATACCCTAATCTGCTAGCAAACCGCGCCTATCTGACTGAATTCTCGGCCAGGGGAAACTAATGGCAAACCCAATATCAGAACAGGTATTAGAATATACGAAACCAGGCCCCCTCGGAATCTTTACGAAGAAAATATCTATACATATGTGCCCACAAGCATCAGCTCCCTGATTAGCCGCCAGATGTCGAGACGTAGGATGAAGTGTGCAGCGATCCATCGGTCCAACAAGCAAGCAAGCAAAGGCTTCGATTGATCGAACAATTCATCCCAGAAACAGTATTGTGGGCCACGTTTTCATCAGTCAGCCCACAAACGCCGATTTTTCCTTTACTTACTCGATATTTTATTGAGGGAGAAAAGAGGAGTGACCGTTGACACTCATTTCGTACGTTGAGCAGGCAGCAATATATATAAGCTTGATTTGGAATTTCAACCGACCTTGAACTGGGATGTACACAAACAGGCCACCGGTTAATGGCTACTATTGGGAAAAAATTCTATGAGCTCCTGAACTCGTGGTCAATTCCCCCCCAGGACGGGTGGTGAGAACTGGCTGATGAAGGAAAGTAGGTGAGTATACTGGATGGGCTTTTGAAATTGGGAATAGTGTCATTAGTGCTCTTAGAGGTTAAGAGAGTAGCAAAACATAAAGCTTTCACAAATTTATTTATTTATTTATTTATTTTAATGTCTACAGACCAGCACAAGCTTGATATATAATTTATGTTCCACTACCGCAAATGATTCATATCAGTGCAACTATCAGAAAACGTATTGAACCCTCGCTATCTGATTCAAGGATTTACCAATTAAATATGAAACATGGAGAAGAAAAAGAAGGCCTCCTTTCAACATTGTACAGACAGTATGCATGATTGGTGATGCAGTCCAATGCGGCATATTCTAGAAAAAACACCCGCCGCCACCAGCGATGAGTTGACAGGTCTTGGCATCAGAATTCCTCTTTTCTGTTCAACTAAATAACGTTAACTTGCCTGGGACGAGAAAGTTATAGTACTCACATATATATCTCAGCTAAACATACTACTTTCCGTCGCTATTTGATATAGACTCGGGAAATACAGATTAAAAGATAAAGAAACCGGGAATCACAAACCGCATCCCCCTCCGTTTCTTCCCCCGCTCTCCATTCCGCCCCTACATTTTCCACCCATCCCTCCCGCCCGTCCTGCCCGTCCTGTGCTCTTCCACCCCCTCCACTCAAACCACACACTCACACACATACACACACAACAATGGACGCCTCAATGAACAACCTCTTAAAATGGAGCATCGAAAACTCCGTCCCAAAAACCTCCGATGATAATAATAACCCCCCGCGGGCCCCGCGCGCCCTCTCCCCCACAGCCCTCCAACGCATCCTCCTAAACGCCCCCTCAGACGCCGAGCTGATGAAAAACGCCATGGCCGCCATCCGCTCCCCCGCCACATCGCTAGACGACAAGCTGATCGCCTTCGATAACTTCGAGCAGCTGGTTGAAAACCTCGATAACGCGAATAACCTGGGCGTGCTGGGGCTGTGGGAGCCGTTGGTGGAGGAGTTGGCGGCGGAGGAGGGGGGTAGGCGGATGATGGGGGCGTGGTGTATTGGGACGGCTGTGCAGAATAATGTGGGGGCGCAGGGGATGGTATGTTTTTTTTATTTTTTATTTTTATTTTTATTTTTAATTTTAATTTTTATTATTTCTATCTTTATATTTTACTTTATGAAACCATATATATTAACAAGCTCACCCTCTCTACATAACAGCTCCTCTCCAAAGCCCCCACAGCTCTCTCGACCCTCTTCGCCCTCTCACAGAACGACCCGGAGACCACCGTGCGACGCAAGGCCGTCTATGCGCTCTCATCCGCCATCCGCAATCACCAGCCCGCCCTAGATGAGCTGCTGCGACATATACCCGAAGATGTAAGGAAGGAGTTGGGAGAGGGCTTTGACGCCAGCGACATGGATGGTGTGGATAAGTTGGTTAACTGGTTGAGACGTGCTTTGGCGTAACCAGCATAGATATATCAGGATTGGGTTGTTTTTTGCCTCCCCCTCTTGGGAGGTGGTTATGAGTTTTTTCATTGGTTGTATGATTTTATGTGCATGGGTTAGGATATATACATTGGCGTTTCGCGGGATAAAAAAATGGATAGTTAAAGTTCTTGCTTTCTCTATTATATTTATTATATACGTCCGTCTGTCTATCATGACCTACGTGTGGCATTCAAACAGGGTGTTTGATCGTATGATAAATGCATAATGTCGTATTGCCGCACCGCTATCTAGCACGCCATAAAATAAAATAAAAAATATGTCAATTAAGGGATGGATTCATACATTGAACTAAAGTCCGAGTCATAAGGATAAAATAATGACAACAATAACGGGATAGGATAAGCGCTCTCCAGGTCAAAAGAAAATCTTAAAGATCGCACCACAGACGCCGGAACAACTCGCGTGAAACGACCAAATCATTCGGGCCCAAAAGAACGAGAATTACGTGACAAGGGGAAGAAAAGAGGGACATATGGTAGCTGAAATACGAGAAAGGATTTAATCGCGATCAAAAGCTCTCCAGGAAGACATAAAACGGTTGCCTGTACCGTGGTCTCGACGGCATCCTACAACGTCAGGCTGTATGTGTAATCCTCTTCCATATTCTGCGATACCCATAGCACAGCGGAGCTAAAATCCGGGAGTAATAGCAGGTGTCAGTATATGCTCACGTTCTAGGAAGAAGGGGGGGGGGGGGGGGGGGGGGGTTTAGGGAGAGGGAACCAGCCCACCTCATCATGATCAAGGAATTAGCGATAACATTAGCAATCCCAAAGTATACCGTTTTCAGCGGATAGTCCTTAATAACGTATTTAAGAACAAGCACAGTCTACAGATAACGCATGTTAGCCATATTTCCCCTCCCCTCCCCTCTCACCTCCAATCCACCCAACACCTCAATCAGTTAAATGGACACAAAAAGAATACATACCACACTCCCCGCCAACCCCCCAGCCAACAACGCAAAGCCCAAAAACAGCACAAAGCGTGCCTTCCACGCAACCCCATTCCCGGAATAGCTGTACGAATCCGCACTCAACCGCGACTTCTCGATGGAGTTTATCACCAGCATGCCCAGCGCAGAGCAAATGCCTGGAATCCAGTCGACGAACTTCACGTGGACGAGGCCGCCGTAGCTGCGGGAGTAGGCGGCGGCATCGACGAGAAAGAAGAAACCGAGGGAGAACTGCGAGAAATGGGTTTTCTTTCGTTAGCTGGATGGTCGGGAGCAGCCTGGCACAGGTTGGTAGAGCTGGCTGGCTGGTTTGGGAGAACAATGCGTACCAGAGCGCCGGAGGCGTAGATTCCAGCCGTGCGCGCGTTGGCGCTACTTAGCCATTGTGGCTTTGTGAAGCGGAAAAGACGGTTATCCGAGTCGTCCATGGCGGGTGAGCAAAGATGTGAGGATGTTGAAGCTTGGTGGTTGTTTGAGTCAAGGGAGCGGGGAGCGGACGGGTAATTATATGTTATCTATTTGTTTAAAGAGCGCAAAGAGAAGGATTTAAGCATATAATATCCCCTCGTATTATGTTCGGATGCTCCACGGTAAGCCTCTGTGAGTCCGCAGCGGATGTGTTTGATATCTTGTTCAGTTTGTTCGCAACCGCCTGGCGTCAAATGGCGACGTCAGATTGATCGAGCTTGGTCACGTGCGTCTGATTGCAGTCTCCGCCGACACTTCCATATCAACTCTCACTATTATACTAGAAGTCTACTCCGCATTGGCGAATCTTGACTAAGGATACATCTTTATGAAGCGGTAGTCTAGCCTAATTTAACAGAGGATATGCCTCATCAGGAGAAAAAAGAAAGAATATATATATATTTTCGCCATACAATAGCCCCTACGTCTCGCAAAACAACCTCAATATACCATCTACAAGATCCGTAGCTTTCCCCCTTTCTAGCAAAGGCACACCCATCCCCCCCCCTGTTTCGGAAGAAGCATTATTTAATCCATTTGTCCCCGCCACTGCTGAACCTCCCGTACCAGTAGACCCATTCGTAACATCTTTCAAATACCGCCTCAGCGCAAAAGATGCCGCGCGATACGCAGCATGATACATAGCTTTGAAATCGTCGTCTTCCTCTGTATCTGGTGGAGCAGCAGCAGGGATAGCGGTAGCTGTTGAAGGCCTTGAGTACGATTGCGATGGCTTCTCCGTTTGCGCGTGGGTAGGCATTGGTGTTGGCACGGTTGTCTTCGTCGGGAGTACAACCGGGGAATCCACATCCGTCGATCCTGGTAGCGGTGGCTGTTTTGACTGACTCGAAGTGGCAGCTGGATTGTTCGTGCGCGAATTACGATGGAACCCATACAGACGCATGCACGTTAGGATGGTTCTGGTTAATAGTGTTTTGTTTGCTGAAATCGTTTCAGACGGTGATGAATAGGCTAGCTGTGGTGGAGAGGGTATCTGCCTATCCTGTTGTTGTTGTTGTTGTTGTTGCTGTGGGGCAAAGGGTCCAGGTGTGCTTCTCCAACTCGAGACACTCGCGGTCCGTGGGCGTGCACCGATGTTCGAACTGGAATCGCGTAAATGTGTCGATAACGGTGTAGCAGACGAAGATTGCTTGGGTGTCTTCGTTATCCTACTGATCGATAACATTCGTGGTTTATGTGTACTGCTATCACCATTGTTATTAATATTATTACCTTTATCAAGGAAGGATGTATCCAACGGCTCTTTCTTAATCTTCGCAATTGCCGACTTCGACAGCTGATGGCCCGACGCCAACGACAAGCTGCGCGACATCAGCTGCGAAACCGCCTGGCCACCTTTCCGTCGGACCTTCTTATGGTATTCAGTCGCTGCGTCGAAAATGCTTGCCATCCGCTTCCGTTTGGGGCATGGAGATCGCTGTTCCGGTAGGAATTCGGCATATGTCTCGTTATCGTAATCGTTGTCATTGTCATTATCATTATCATCATTATTATCAGTGAAAGAGCCTGGGTTTGGGCTAAATGGGGGAGATGGTAGGGCTTTGGCCATCGAAATGAGCCCCGAGCAAAGTGTAACGGCATAGATCCGCAATTCCCTCCCCGGAGCACTGCCTTCATTGTCATTTGAGTTTTCTAGGGTTGGATCAGGGAAAGTAGGTGATGATGAGGGAGGAGTTGGCGGCCGCTTTGAATGTAGAGAGGTTAAACCAAGCACCCCGTACACAAGGATATCCGTCACATCATTGTTAAGCGTATTGGAGGTACTACCACGTCGTTGGGGCGTTTCAACAGCTAAAAGCACCCCTGTTGGGCACTGGATAGGCAGCGGGTCATCGACGCGATCATCAGCGTCCTCGTCCTCGTCACCGACACCACTTAACAGTCTGCATTTCCACCATTCTATCGACTTGAAGTCTTTGATATGGACCTCGAGAGCGGGGCCAATTCGCGCGTAATAGGGGATAAGGGTTGGATTAACAAAGGAGCGGAGGGAGAGCCGGGCGTCCTTCTGTAGGGCGCAGTGGCTAATCAAAGTCGGATCGACCAGCAGTGAGATGCCTAGTGGACAAATGGTGTTAATATCATGAATTTCTTCAGATTCCAGCTCGGATTGTATCTTGCGCATAGCACGTACCTTTCCCATGCGAAAGATCCGCGGCACCAGTGACTTGGCCTGACCAGACTTCCATCCGGATCAGAACGCGCTAGCAAAAACTTCAACAATTGGGTGGGATGGGTTTTGTATGGAACCTAATTCCAATGTGTAGATGTATCAATTTTGAAATTGTCTACCATAAATAAAGATACCTCAAAATCCCATGCACCGTAGATGTTGGAGCTTGTTGAAGTTTTTGTCTGAAACTTCGAGTTGCGATGGTCGCGACAGGTGCGACGCGATATCACGTGGTTATCAACCTTGATACCTAGGTAGTTATAGGACTCTAAAATATAAACAGGTAGAGATCGGGTAATTGGAGAAGCGTACAAAGCTAAGACCGATATATATGTTTGAGGCGATCCCTCCATGTGTCAATCAGGGGTACATTTGCGAAAATCGAGAAAGAGTATATTGGTATTAGCATCCATAACTACAGTAGCTCGAATATGATCTTCCAGGCTTGCAATATAGCCCTAGCACAAGGCGAAACACCAAATGCATGTACACACTCTTGAAGAAAACGGTGAAACAATAGGATTAAAGCAATAACCAAGACCCCAAGAGAGAAAAGTCATAAAACGCAGAAGGAAAGAACATAAACCGTAAAAAAACAACAAATCACCGGCTCCTGGACTCGTAGGGTGAACTGTCGTGGGGTAAATAAGATGTAAGGGAAGCGCAGAAAACTAATAATAGTGGGTGAATATGGGTAAGGTAGGCGGGGATAGAGGGGGAAAAACACAGCACATTAGTCTTGGTTCTAGCCTTCTTAGAACTCTTCCTGCTCCTGGAAAAACATCGAGAAACTGATGATGGTAGTATATATCAATAGGCCACCCAGGATCGACATGACCATCGCGGGAATCTGGATGGCACCGCTATGAGCCAGAAGAGTGGGGAGGGCTATTTATTCAGGCAGACATGTTTTAAGTTAGCAGGCCACTTGAATGCAGGCAGGTCCTCAAGAGATCCAAGCAGGAGGCCTTTCGGGTAAGGAGTATCGCTGCAGCTGATGTATACAAGAACAGCATTTATGGAGGAAGTCAACGCACCAACGCCCATCACAACCAGGAAGCCAGTGCACCACCTCCCGAAATCCACCACAGCGCTCCCCGCGCTCTCCATGAAATCATCAGGGTTGGCACAGCGGCCGCATATCCAGTTCGGTAGTGGAGCGATTACATATGTGGCAACGACGAGGAGGGGGAGATAGTTATGCCATAGCGCGGCGGAGAGGATGACCAAGAGGAAACCGATTGCGAGGACCTGTTTGTTATCCAGGCGGGGAAGAGCGGTTAGGCAACTGTGGTCTATCAGATGGGGTCAGGAAGAAAGGGGTAATCGTACAAAGGAGAGGGCGATGATGGTTTTTAGTCCCGCTGCCATGATGCCTTGGAGGATGGAGGCGGGCAGGAGAGTGGAGGGAGGGGAGATGAGGGAGGAGGTGATGGTGTTTGATGATGTGAAGCCCGCTCCAGCTTCAATCAAAGGAGTATAGCGGAGAGTCCTGCAGACGCAGGCGGAGAAGTCAGAGCAGCAGACGAAATAAAATAAATGAGAATCTGTAGCAAAAGCTCAGCCCCAAGCAAGCGATATTAAATTGATTAATCCAGTTGGATGTATGCGATAGCAACGAAGCGCCGAAGCTGGGTTGTCGGATACAATACGGTACCGTACGATACAGCCACCTTTCTTACCAAATCACTGGTTCTTGGCGAGCTAACCCGATCTGGACTGAAGCTC